GCCTTCTTGACCACCTTATCTACCTGAGTTGCTGCTTTCAGGGATCTGAGGACCTATATGCGCAGATCCCTCTGTATTGTCAATGCTCCTACAAGTTCTGCCATTTGTTGTATAATTTGCACCTGAATTTGATCTTCCAAGTGCATCACCTTGCATTTGTCTGGATTAAACTCCATCTGTCATTTCTCGGCCCAAATCTGCAATCTGTCTGTATCCTGCTGTTTCCTTTGACAATCCTCCTCACTATCTGCAACTCTGCTGATTTTGGAGTCATCTGCAAACTTATTAGTCAGACCACCTACATTTTGCTCCAGATCGTTCATATATATTACAAACAAGAAAGGTCCCAGCATTGATCCCTGCAGAACACCACTAGTTACTGATTTCCATTTTGAAAAGCACCCTTCCACCGCTACTCTCTTCTATGACCAAGCCAGTTTTGTATCCGTCTCGCCAGCTCCCCCAGGATCCCATGAGACTCTACCTTCTATACCAGCCTGCCATGAGGTACCTTATCAAATGCCTTCCTAAAGTCCATGTAGACAGCATCCACTCCCCTTCCCTCATCAATCATTCTTTCACCTCCCCAAAAAACTCATTCAAGTTCGTGAGACATGACCTTCCCTTTCTTCTCACAAATGTTGCTAGACCTGGTGAGTTTCTCCAGCAGCTTCTACTTCTGCATTAAAAACCTCTCCAAGCATCACACCATCCAAACTTGGATATATGTTACTTTTTCCTTCATTGTCACAGGATCACAACCTTGGAACTCACTAACAAATAGGACAAGTGTTTCTGAATTTAAAATGAGAGGATGAAATTTTCCTAACAATGCTTAAGTTAATCCTCCATTACATCAGAGTTCCAATAATATTAAGACAATTGGGAAATGCTTTACATCTTTGGTTGTGTCTGATATTCGTTTGCCCAGAATATCTTCGTAATTGAGTAAACTTAAGGAGGAGATTTTTAATTAGCAATGGGTTGTAAGGTTATGGAGAGCGGGCAGGAAAGTGAGCTTGAGACCAAGACGAGATCAGCCATGGTCATATGTAGGCTCGATCTGCCGAATTGCTTATTCCTGTTCCTGGTTCTTATGTTCTTCTTATGTTCTTTAATCAACCAGTTGACACTGCAAATTTCAACAAGAAATTAAACAGTTACAGAAAATATCTCCTTCTAGGCATTCGGTGAGTATTTTTTGATCAGTAACCTCTCCATCACCTTAAATATTCACTTACTCCACTGCCAACGCACAGTGGCTGCAAGACTCCCAGCATTTCATCAAACCTCCTTCAGCAGCACACTCCAAATCCACCAACTCTACCACCTAGAAGGACAAGTGATGCATGGGAACACCATCGTTTTCAATTTCCCTTCCAAGCCACTCACCATCCTGACTTGGCAACATGTCAATACATCTTCACTGCCACTGAGTCAAACTCTTGTAACGTCCTTCTTAACAGCATTGTGGATGCATCCATACCACATGAAATGCAGTCATTCAAAATGACAACGCACCACCACCTTCTGCAGTGAAAATTGGGGAAGAAAAATAAACACTGGCTTTACCGGAGAGACCAACAATCTGAGGTATTGTTCATTTAAAACTAGGGTGTCAGAATGATATGAGTCCTGTTAACAGGATTAATCTGGGGAAAGTCAAATCAAATAGAGATAAAGAACATGAAATTTAAAGTGTGAGTCTCCAACTGACCATGTATCATCTTTTCTAATAGTTCAATGTTCCCTTCATCTGACTCTGTTGCCAGGGCACAAAGTTGAGATTCTGTCAATTGCCCCACTGCCCAGGGTTGGGTGAGGAGAGTTTGTTGGTGCTTTGACAGTCAATTCCATGCTCCTGCCCAGATTCTTGGGAGCACAAGGTCCCCTTGGTCACATAATTCCAGAGTTAATCACCTGAAACAGTGACATGAAGCCACAGTTTGGCTTTGCTACAGCAGTGATTTGCATTAGTCTGGGTATATACCATTGCATTTGCAAGAATGGGATGTGACATGGAATGTGTTGTGTGTATCCTCAGTGCAATTTACAGATTGTGCCCACCAGCACAAATTCCTGGTCCTTGTTTCATGTGGTTGGTTTGGCCTGTGCTTTCTATATTAAATATATACCATTTGTGTCTGCACGAGAGAAGCAAGAGGCTATCCGTGGAAAGCACCCCAGGGAATGTCTCCATTGAATATCTGGCTTTAATTGGATTACGTCCAGACTGTAGTCATATAAAATACGCAGGAAGATGTAGATTGCATCTTGAGAAGTTTCATCTATGCATTTAATATGCTGTCATGCTGTGAAAAATGTTTACTCTGAGGGCAATCCAAGGCTTTTTAATCAATTGAAGTAAAGGAAAACCAGTTTCTTCTCTGTCCCATTTTATTTACCCTTAGGCGCAGTTTCACTCAGACAGTTGAAGTTAGTCATGAGGATCAAAATGCCCACAAGTAAATTTTAGTGAATTGAAAAATATCATGCTGCACAAGTCTTTTGCCCCACGTGATTCTTAGTGCAGGTGGTTTTTGGTTGTATTCCACATTTGGCTGGCAATTCAGTTGAAACAGACACTTTGGAACTTGGCCGAATGTAATGAAATGCAGAGGCAGCGCGAACATCTGGCAGTTGGCAAGTTTTGCCTTTCTGTTATTAGCTTGTTATTCTATTATCCTGTTGAAGTCATTATGGATTGGTGACTGGTTTAACTACATTTTATTTATGGAATACTAAGTGAATGTGGAACAATGAGCCAGATACAAACTGGAAACAAAATGCAACAGGCCAATGAAGGACGTATTTGCTCATATGTGCAACAAAGGTTCACTAGGTTGGTTCTTACACTGAGCATTAGATTGTACTGTGAGGAGAAATTGAGTAGACTGGACCTATATTGCTTGGTGGTTAAAAGAATGAAATGTAAAACTATTAAGGGCTTGACAGGCTAGATGCTGAAAAATGTTTTCCTTGGCTGGAGAACGTAGAATACGGGGTTATGGGATTGGAACAAGGGATCACCTTTAAAGACTGATGTGAGGAAAATAGCTTCATTCAGAGGGGTGTGAATTTTTGGAGCATTCTGACCCACAGGGCTGCTCAATATATTCAATAGATATTTTAGTTCTAAGGAATTTAGAAATAAGACAGAAAGAGAGAGTTGAGATAAAGGGTCAGTCATGAACTTTTTGCGTAAAGTAGGTACAATGGGCCAAATAGCGTCTTCTTGCTCCTGTTTCTTATGTTCTAATGTACAATGGAGTGAGTAAGTACAGGGGATGAAGAGATGCAATGAGTTGTGAATCTCCAGAATTTGTTGAATGACTAAGTCTTCTCCATGATCACTTTGCACAAATGGCATCTCACCCTTGCTTTTGTTGTTATTTTTATTAGGTTGTTGGATATATGTATTAATTGTTTATTAAACTCATTGCAGAAATTTATGGCTGGACTTCAACACCTTAAGTACATTTTTTAATGACATGATAATTGTTAATTTAATGGCAGTCAACCTTTTTGACCCAGGAAGGGAAAAATTTTAAATGTTCATTTTTGCATCAATGTAGTAAATTATTAGAGATTTAAATCATTTTGAATTTTAATAATTACAATGTTTTCTTATATTCTCTTTCTATCTTTTTTTCCTCCCTCAATATAATTTTTCTTTCTCTTTATTTCCTTTTGAATATCTGCTTTGACTCTAATTCCCCTGATTTCCTTGTCCATTGTTCATCTGTTTATTTCTCAATGCTTAAATCTAATTGGCGAAGAGGGGAGGTTGTGGGTCCCATTGTTCACTGAGGTCCCAGATGTCCATTGCCCACATTGCACTATTATTAGCTCATGTTCCCAGCAAGTTACAGCCCAAACTGTCTTTGAGCTGATGGGCTTGGGTGAAGTCTGTTTAACAATGCTCATAGCAAGATGTCTTGCTGTAACAAGACCTGGGCCACTATTGTAAATGGAAAGCCGAACATCAAAGATACCTCAATTTGTTGCTTCAGTTATAAAAATAAAATCTGATGCTTTTCAATCAACTGAAGGGAAATATGCTGAAGATGGTGTAAGTCTATGGACTAGGGTCACCTGAAATGCTGGTCATTCCAATCATGCTATCAAATCCTGGGGTGGTACAGTGGCTCACAGAACCAGGGATCCAGGTTCGATTCTAGCCTCGGGTGACTGTCTGAGTGGGTTTTCTCTGACAGTCGAAAGATGTGCAGGTTAGGTGGGTTGGCCGTGCTAAATAGCCATAGTATCCAGCGTTGTGTAGGCTAGGTGGTATGTGTAAGATGTTCTTTGAAGGATTGGTGTGGACTCGATGGGCCAAATGGCCTCTTCCACACTGTAAGGATTCTATGATTCCCCTCAATGAACAATAACTTGCATTTGTATCGCACCTTTATTGAGCTTAATTTAATAGGCCCCCCTCTTGCCAATATTTTTGCTAGTTAACAAAGCTCTAATATCCTATCATCAGAGCTGACCCTAATTTGTTACTTTCTACCATCTACGAGATCGTAACTTGCAAAGCCTCCTCCAGCAATCTAATCTGGGCTTCTACCATCTAGAAAGACAAGAGAAGCCGGTCCATAGGAGCGTTACCATCTTCAGTTTCCCTCCAGGTCACTTCACCGTTACTGGAACTTCTTCCCTAACAGCACTGTCGATGTACCAGCACTTAGATGGACTGTAATGGTTCAAGAAGGCAGCTTACCATCACCTTATCAAGGGCATCTAGTATAGGCAATAAATGCTGGCCTTGCCAACAATGTCTACATGCAATGCAAGAATACAAAAAATGTAGCTGGTGATAAGAAGTATAGCAGGTCCTAATTTTACATGCCATATTTGGAATAACTCATTGATTTTGTGCTTAAAGATTCACTGCATCTACACAGGTAGATAGATTCTTCGTAAAAATTTTGACTTGAAGATGACTGTGACCTTACTTAATGGAGTACTCTCTTTTTCTTTTATCTCAATTGCAGCATGTGACAATAATCATTGGGGCCCACATTGTAACAACCGCTGTCAGTGTAAGAATGGAGCTCTGTGTAACCCCATCACTGGAGCCTGCTTCTGCACTCCGGGGTACCAAGGTTGGCGATGTGAGGAGGTCTGCAGTGTCGGAACATATGGGAATGGATGTCATCTAAAATGCCAGTGTCAAAATGGGGCAACGTGTGATCATGTGACTGGTGAATGTAAATGCCCACCAGGATACACTGGTGCATTGTAAGTACAGATTCTATCAGACACTTAGTCGTTTATTTTCAGGAAGATAGCATCTCCATTTGTAAATGGTATTAATAGAAAATGTTGTGTGCACATTTGAAGCTCAATGTTGTTGGTTTTCTCTTTTGTTTCAAGTGTTTGTTTCCTTTAGTGATGGAATCAATATTGCATGCAATTCCTGACACTTTGATAAAGCAGTATGTTTACTCATGGAACCACAGAATCACAAGATTGTTACAGCACAGAAGGAAGCCGTTTAACACATATTATGTCTGTATGAGTTGTCCAAGTGTGTATTTCGCTAAGTACAATTTTACCAACTTCCCCCTATAATATTACACATTCGTCTTTTCAAATAACAACCAAATTCTCTTTTGAATGTCTTGATTGAATCTGCCTTTACCATGCTATCAGGCAGTGCATTCCAGACCTTAACCATTGACTGTGTGAAAAATTTGTGATCCATTTTTGAGTGGGAACAGTTTGAGTGAATACGGAGAAGTTTAGTCACTTTCCATCTTTGTTTGTATTTCATGTTAAATCTGTAACTGAAATTTACTGTTACATTCTAAATTTTAAACAAGCACTCAACTGGAGTGCAGCTGAAGTTCATTACTTAAGGAAACTACATTAAACTAGTCTTTCTAAGATTACAAAGGGATCAATTGGGTGAATGGGCTCAGGAGTGGTAGATGGAGTTTAGTTTGGATAAATGCAAGGGAGAGAAGAAAGACTTAAAAGGGACACAAAGGATGGTAGATGCAGGAACAGTTACATTTAAAAGACATTTGGACAGGTACATGAATAGGAAAGGTTTAGAGGGAAATGGGTCAAACACAGGCAAATGGGAATAGTTTAGTTTGGGAAATTTGGTCAGCATGAATGAGTTGGACCAAAGGGTCTGTTTCTGTGCTGTGTGACTCTATCTGTATATAGGGCCAAACTAATGTATCATGCACAAAATGTAATGAAATCTTCCAGTTATATTGTTTATTTTGTATTGCTCTCAGCAATCTGTAACATTCAGAGCACATTATAGGGAGATGATTGCCCAGTGTTATTATCACTGGACTGTTAATCCAGAGACCCAGGTAAATTTCTGGGACCCAAGTTTCCATCCTGCCAAGGCAGGTGGTAGAATTTGAAATCAATAAAAGTCTGGAATTAAGAATCTGATGATGACCATGAATCCATTGTTGATTGCTAGAAAAAAATGTCTGGTTCACTATTGTCTCTTTAGGAAGGAAACTGCCACCCTTGTCTGGTTGGGCCTACATGTGACTCCAGAACCCACAGCAATGTGGTTGACTCTTCACTGCCTTCCGGATATCTAGGGTTGGGCAATAACTGCTGGTCTAGCCAGTGAGGGGAGTAATTGTGAGGTATTCAATAGTCACTCAGGACAGTTCAGGGTCACTGAAGAACAATTTGTTGGGTGCGAACCAGTTAGTTGGAGAAAGACAATAAAGGGGCAGACTCAACTTTGGAAGTGTGGCAGCTAGCTGTACTTCTGGGAAGGCTGCTGAACTACACAGGTTCTGTAAAGGCTGACCCAGTGAAGAGTAAAGAGCAGTTGCCCAGCTCTTGCTGTTCAAACAAACTCAGGAAGGAATTCTAAGATTTAGTAGGCATCTAAGAGTTGAAGTCAGGATTCAAAAGAGATCCTAGGCAGCTTAGAAAGTGAGAAGGTCACTGGCTTAGTGTTGGGGAAACCCTGTGGTGTTTGGAAGAAACCAACCAGCATTGATACTTCAGTTAAGTTGGGAGAATGTAGATTGAGGATAGCACAAGCAGTATTTGCTTGATGTAACTGAGCAAGACTGGAGTTCAGGAAAAGCCTACAGGCAGGACCGGCTCGATGAAGCTAGCTTTGGTGAAGAACTGGAGTTACGTTTGTGAATGAGTACGGCAGTGCAGTTTTAGGAATCTAGAGGTGCACGGACCCAGGACAGATGGATGATTGATTAGAACAGGAACAGTCATTAAAACAATTCATGATGGAATAGCCCCTGAGAGGGATTTTCAAGGCCAAATCGGCAAAAATGGTGTACTGAGATTTGATGACCCCCAACAAATTGTTCTTCAGTGACCCTGAACTGTCCTGAGTGACTATTGAATAGCTCACAATTACTCCCCTCACTGGCTAGCCCAGCAGTTATTGCTGGCATTAATGTCTAGAGGGAGTTAATGAGAAATCCATGGGATCTGTCTTGATCATATTTGCTACTTGATGTGCATAGTGCGGTGTTCGATCACAGTATATTATTCATATTTACTACATGTTAATTTTGGGTGTTAAATACAAGTTGTATATGTTTTGAAAATTATGTCATTCTTCTAACTTTTGAGTTAGCTTAATGTTTGTTCAAATTGTGGAATCTTATGATTTTATCCTTGTAGCAAGTGGCCAGGATCTTACCATTTGTCAACTTCAAAAACAGAGGTTACTGATCCAAAACCAGATCTTAACATAATTTGGTGATCTTCTCCTTGGTCGTAACATTAAGTTGGTGGTCTGGTCTGAGATCGTAGAATCATACGGTACAGAAGGGGCCCTTCAGCTCATCGAGTCTGTACCACCAAAAATGTACTACCACTTCTCCGCACTAAGCCCATAGCCTTGAATGTTATGTCATTTCTAGTGCTCATCCAAATACTTTTTAAAGGTAATGAGATTTCCTACCTCAACCACGATCCCAGGCCGTTCATTCCAGATTCCCACCACCCATTGGGTGAAAAGGTTTTACGTCAAATCCCCTCTAAATTTCCTGCCTTTTACATTAAAGTTATGCCTCTTTGTTAGTGACCCTTTGACTAAGGGAACTATTTACCCTGTCCGTGCTCCTCAGAATCTTATACACCTCTATCATGTTTCCCCCCTCAACCTTCTATGCTCCAAAGAAAACACCTAGGCAACATCCTGATTAACGTCCCTTGCACCACCTCCAGTGCAATCTCATCCTTCCTATAGTGAGGTGACCAGAACTGCACACGGTACTGCAGCTGTGACCTAATCAAAGTTCCAATAATCTAATATGGTGGTCTTCTCCAGGATCCTAACAGCACAAATATATAAATACAGGCAGCTCAGTGTGACATTGAGCAGATTGATGGGAGTTGGGCGAGTGGTTGAGTTCGAACATAGGACAGTACAGCACAGTACAGGCCCTTTGGCCCATGATGTTGTGCCAACCTATTATCCTACTCTAAGATCAAACTACCCTACATATCCTACATTTTACTATCACCCATGTGTCTATCCAAGAGTCGCTTATGTGTCCCTAATGTATCTGACTCCACTACCACCGCTGGCAGCGCATTCCACACACCCACCACTCTCAGTGTAAATACCTACCTCTGACATCTCCCCTATACCTTCCTCCAATCACCTTAAAATTATGCCCCCTCGTAATAGTCATTTCTGCCCTGGGAAAAAGACTCTGGCTAGCCACTCTATCTATGCCTCTCATCACTTTGTACACCTCTATCAAGTCACCTCTCATCCTTCTTTGCTCCAATGAGAAAAGCCCTAGCTCCCTCAACCTTTCCTCATAAGACCTGCCCTCCAGTCCAGTCAGCATCCTGGTAAATCTCCTCTGTGCCCTCTCTAAACCTTCCACATCCTTCCTATAATGAGGTGACCAGAACTGAACACAATATTCCAAGTGTGGTCTAAGCAGGGTTTTACAGAGCTGCAGTATAACCTCGCAGCTCTTAAACTCAATTCCCCTGCCAAATAAAACCAACACACCATACACCTGCCTAGCAACCCTATCAACTTGGGTGGCAACTTTGAGGGATCTATGGACGTGGACCCCAAGATCCCTCTGTTCCTCCACACTGCCAAGAACCCTGCCATTAACCCTGTATTCTGCATCTACATTCGACCTTCCAAAATGAATCACTTCACACTTATCCGAGTTGCATTCCGTCTGCCACTTCTTTGCCAAGCTCTGCATCCTGTCAATGTCCTGATGCAACCTACAACAGCCCTCCACTCTATCCACAACTCCATCAACCTTTGTGTCATCGTCAAACTTACTAACTCACCCTTTCACTTCCTCATCCAAGTCATTTATAAAGATCACAAAGAGAAGAGGTCCCAGAACAGATCCCTGTGGAACACCACTGGTCACCGAGCTTTCATCGACTACTTTCCATCTACTACCATCCTCTGTCTTCTATTGGACAGCCAATTCTGTATCCAGACAGCCAAATTTCCCTGAATCCCATGCCTTACTTTCTGAATAAGCCTACCATGTGGAACCTTATCAAATGCCTTGCTAAAATCTATATACTCCATATCCACGTTTTGTCACATCCTCAAAGAGTTAGTTGAAGAGGGGTAGGAGGTGCTGTTCTGCATTTTCTAATTTTTTTCACCATGTAAGAATTGGTTCTTACTCTACTAATGGGGAAGAAACTGGCTGTTTGTTGATTTTTCTACTATGTGGTTAAAGGTTCTATTCTATTTCTAAGGTTTGAAGTGGTACATGAACTGGTGATAAGATTAATAAAATATATTTAAAGAGAAAATGACTAATTACATTTTGAATTAAAATACATTTAATGTTGACAGAATATGTAATTTGACATGGCTGCTGCATGTGGGAGCACTTGGATGACATTATGATTCGAAGCATACATATCTACATTAAGTTTTTGAGGTTTAAGCAGCTTCTGGTCAGATACATTAAGCTGGAGTCTGAGTTGCAGGAACTGCAATACACCGGGGAGGGGAAACATTACCTGGGTATTTTGTAGAAAGGACTATTTGCTTAAGGTCCTCTGTGGTCAGGGTCAGGAGAGTATTATCATTGCGGCTGAGGTAGACAAGGGGATCCAGAGGATAGGAATGAAGGCACCTCAGTCTTTATAATTATTCAAATGTTAGACGTTTTCAGCATGTTTGGATAAGAGTAGGGCTGCAGGCTGAATGAGTTAACTGACCATGGCACTGCAGTCTAGAGGCTATTCAACTTGGGAGGAGAGGGTTAGCAAAAAGGAATCTAGCGGTAAGAGAGTACGGTATAACGAGGCAGTTCAACACCTTTCTCGGCAGCAAAGAATGAGAATTGAAACTATTGTGCTGTTTCTGAAAAGGTAACGGAAGCAGAGTCTTTGAATCTTTGTAACACAGAGGTAATAGATTCATGACGAGCAAGAGGCTGAAAGTTATCATGGAACAGTAGAAATGTAGAGTAGACAGATCGGCCATGATCTACATGAATGACAGAGCAGGCTTGAGGGGGGCCAAGTGAACTTCTCCTGCTCTTTACTTGTATATTTGTATCTATGTTTGCAAGCTCCCTACATATCTGTCCAAACACCTTGGTATTTTGAATGCCTGCATCCAATCCAGCCTCCTCCTCTTCAAGGAAAATATTCCTAAATGCTTCAAACTGCCTTCAATGTCAGGAATCTTTTATCTACTCTCTTCAATGCCATCATATCCTTCCTAAAATGTGGCACCCAGATCCGACTGAAATACGCCATCTAAGGCTGAACTAGTGTGTCTTATAGATTTAACCTCCTTGTTTGCATACTCTGTACTTCTATTAATAGGAATTACGATAGTGCCTGCTTTATAAACATTATCTCAACCTGTCCTGCCACCTACAGTGACCTACACACATTGACACCCATAAGCCTATATTGCTGAATCCCTTTTAGAATTGTACCTTTCATTTAATGTTAACTGACCACATTCTTCCTACAAACTTCACATTTCTCTAGATTGAACTTCATCTGTCATTCGTCCACGCTTTCCATCACTTATATTAATTTCGATCTCTTTTGTCACCCAGGAGCTCTGAGTTTGGTTACTTCTTTCAGAACTTTTACCACGTTCAGAACCAGCAGAATACTTGACCGTGAGATCACTGATTTATGATCAAATTGGAAAATTTATTTAGCACAAGAGTCTGAAACACAATAAACTAGGCAACAATTATTAGGTTCAGATAAGCCTTGCTTCTTGTTTCAACCTTGGATGTTGGAGTGTGCTGACTCAGATTTAGCCGTGCTGACATTGTCATTCTTCCCTTGATGATAGTTATTACTTGTCTGCTGCATTATTCGGCACTTAGCTTATTCCTTTAATACAGCGCTGAGCTCCTCCTGCACCATCTTTATGCTTACTTCAATGTGCGCAGTGTTTGGAGTATTACTGATTGAAAAGTAATGTGACTCACTTGGGTCTACCTCGGTTGGTAATTAGTGTGCAGTATCAAGTGGGAACTATAATATCAGTTAGAACTCTAGATGTATGACCCCTTAGATTGAATAAGGGATAGAATGTGACTTAAATGCTTTGTTTTTTCATATTTATTTCTACAGTTTACAGGATTATAATAATGATTACGCAAATAAAATGCTTTGATTAACAAAAGCTGCCTTTGGCTGTAATCTATATAACATGGGACTCTTAAGCATTCAAAAAGAATGTGATTTAGAATGATCTACTGATTAGGATCAATATCTTGAAATCAAATAAATGCCTTCGGGTTTCTATGAATAAAACTGTCAGAATGTTTACGGTGATCAGCGATAATGATTGGTTTTCTCTCTCTCTCTTTCTCTCATCCACTGACTCATCTTTATGTATGAATATTGATCTTTCCAATTATCCAGCTGTCTACAGATCTATATTGAAATAACCCCACAGAGGCTGGCATCCTCTCACCAAGTCACCTTTTATTGACAGGTGCATAGTACATCACACTGGTCCAGCTTCCTCAGAGCCAGCTCTCAGAGTGAGCAGAACCTCTGACATTCCTGTTTATATCTGTCAGCTAGGGCTCTCTGATTGCACCAGGTTAACAGCCCCAATCAGGGAATTCATATTGTATGAGGTCCACCTGACTGACCTAGTCACAATCACTACAGATATATTTTTCTCTTCTTTCCACACACTGGATAGCTCTTTACAGGGAACAGCACACAAATGGACTGAGTATCTCCTACTGTGTTGCATGATTGTAAAAGCAAATGAGATCTTAAAATGTCTGATTGTATCATTGATTTTAAAAACAAGGTATAAATTATCTTTGATAAAATCTTATGATTCTGCTTCTCTTTCTCTCAATGTTTTGTGTTTGTCGTGGCTCAGTTGGTAGCATTATCAGCTTTATTTTCAAATGTTGTGGGTTCAAGATGTACTCCTGATACATGAACACATAATTTACATCAACATTTCAGTGCAGTTCTGAGGGGGTGCTGCATTGTCAGAGATGCTGTCTTTTGGACAAGACGTAAACTGAATTCCTGTCTGCCTCTTTAGGTAGATACAAAATGTCCTGTGACACAAATTTTAAAGCAGCACAATGAAGTTCTTCCTGATGTCCTAGCCAATATTTGTGTCTCAATCAATTTGACTGGAGATTGCCTGGTGATTGTTATATTGTTGTTTGTGGGAGTTAATTATGTGCAAAGTGACTGCTGTGTTTCTGACATTACAACAACAATAACATTTCAAGCAGTGGTTTGCTGGCTGCTTTGGGATGTCCAGCATTCACAAAAGGTGCTATATAAATGCTTGCTCTTCCTTTGTTGTAATATCTGCCTGTTTTCTGTATTTTCTTTGGTTTTCTAGTTGTGAAGATCTGTGTCCACCAGGCAAGCATGGACCTCAGTGTGAGGAGCGATGCCCTTGCCAGAATGGTGGGGTATGTCACCATGTGACAGGAGAATGCTCATGTCCCTCTGGATGGATGGTAATGGATGGTGGTTAATTAATATATAACACAACCATACATCAATGCACATGCTTCATGTGCACAGCCTTTACTTTCTGTTGTCATTCAGTTCTTGGAAAAGTTTCCATGTTTAAAATGTCAAAGCTTTATAAATTGCAAATTCCCATGTTAACATTTTATAATGTGACTCCCCGATGTAGTTAGTTGTCTTTATAATGAAAGAGTCAAAGTGAACAAATTGCCTTTTGAACCTCTTTTCCCTTGGTCCTCACCCCCACATATCCTTTATACAAAATAAATTTTGAAACAAATTCAATGAAACACATACTTCATAACTACATGATAAATCATATCCACTGGATTGTTATCTATGTCTATTATTAAATCCAGTAAAGTTTTTACTTCTGAGGTCTTTCCAAACATTCTATTTCATACTTGTGCCTGAAATAGTGACCCTGTTTAACGACAGGTGATTCTGTTTGAACACACAAACCTATGAATTAGAAGCAAGAGTAGGCCATTCAGCCCCTCAACCCTGTTGCCCCATTTAATAGCATGGCTGAGCTGAGAGTAAACTCAAATCCATATTCCTGCACACACTTTTTACTTTTTACCTCCCCTTGTTTAATTAGAATCTACCTCTGCCGTAAAAAACATTCAAGGACTCTCACTTTCTCAGGAAGAGAATTCAAAAGACTCATGTTGACCAATGTCATGGGGTAATTTTACCATCTTGTTTTTCTAAGTCTGCCTTCCATCAGTGCTACTCAGGAAAACTGCCCTTCATTCTCATTCCACAGGGTTGGGACAATTCCCAAATTGTCTTGGATGAAAGTCCCTCAGAACCTGGGATTCCCATTCCACAATAGGAGGGGTGGTTTTTGGTTTTAGTTATGGCAGGTTGTCACTCGTGTCTCCCACATCGTTAACACTTTGTCTTTCACCCTCCATGCAAACTCACTCAATATCCACATGAGCCCTCAGGACCTATGTTGAAATTGAATTAATAAAGTTCTAAGTATCCGTTGCAGATTTTTTTAAGAAAATGCTCAAATTCTTAAAACCTTAATTACTACATTTACATTCCTTCAACTAAGTAACGCCTTGGAAAATGAAACTTTTATTCAACTGCTTAATCTCTTTAAAAAAACAAGCATTAGAATACAGAATCCCACTTCAGATAGTTTAGAATCACTTGGAGTAGTTCATCAAATTGTGAAATGGCAGGCACCCCACTGTTATATTTAAAGGTTCTGAAATCAGCCATGCAGCATCAGTCTAAATAGCCCTCAGCTTTCCATACAGCTAGGACAGGACAGGACACCATAGCAAACTGATTTTTTTCTAAATATTTAAGGGCAGGAGATTTAATGCCATAACATATTGACAGTTATTTTTGACAGTCACTTTTGTTAGGGCAGATCTGAATATTTAATCTTCAGTTGCTTCTATCATTTAGACTAATCTGAAATAAAAAAATTATCTAAGTCTAATGATGAACAAAAAAAGACAAACAAATGATTGACGTGTTTAACTTTTAAAGGGAACAGTATGTGGCCAGCCTTGTCCTGAGGGAAGATATGGAATAAACTGCTCACAGGAATGCCAGTGTCACAATGGTGGCCAATGTGATACAGCCACTGGTCAGTGTCAATGTGGAGCTGGCTACACAGGGGAGAGGTAAGGGAACCTATCAACACTGTATTCGTAAGATAACAATCACAGTTATGTATCTTTACATTCTGTGTAAACCACTCGATGGTCTTGTCTCTAAACACAACTTTAACCTCATCCATCCCTTTAACCTACAAAATTTGTGTTACTCCAGTTTTAGCCCCTTCTTCACTCTTGATTTCCATCACTCCCATTGGTGACCATGTCTAAAGAATTGGAACCTCCTTAAACCTCTCTGTTCCTCTTTCTTCTTACAAGACACTCCTTGAAAGCTAACTCTTTGCACCAAGCTTTCAGTCAGCTATCTTCTCCTTATGTAATCTGGTGTCAAATTTTATCCTGTGAAGCACCTTATGAGGTAAAAGTACCATATAAATTCAAGGTTCTGTATGGGTTTTTCAAGAGGTTAGTAGATAGTAATTCAGAACAGCTAACCAGCTTCAAAATCAATTCACCTTGAAGTCAAATAAACAGTTCTGAAGTTATTGTTCTCAAGATGGTAACAAGCTGACTGATTCCTCGGGTGGCAGGAGTGATATATGAAGAGAGACTGGATGAGTTAGGATTATATTCACTGGAGTTTGGAAGAATGAGGGGAGTCTCATAGAAACCTATAAAATTCTAACATGACCAAACAGGGTAGACACAGGAAGAATGTTTCCGATGACTAGGGAGTCTAGAACGAGGGGTTACAGTTCAAGGATATGGGCTGGGCCATTTACGACTGAGATGAGGAGAAAGCCACAGATAGTGGCTGAGGCCAAAACACTGAATGTTTTCAAGAAAGAGTGAGATATAGTTCTGAGGGCAAAAGAGATCAAAGGATATGGGGAGAAAGCAGGGACAGAGTACTAAGTTGGATGATCAGCCATGATCATATTGAATGGCAGAGCAGAATTGAAAGGCCAAATGGCCCACTCCTCCTATTTTCTATGTTTCTGAGCTTGCTTCTGCTTTGGTCTAATCTGATAGAATGCAGTATATATCTATGATTATATCTATTATTATAGCATAAAATGCTAAGGAATAAAATGTCCAGTTTAATTCTTACGATAGGGTGATACAACTCATAAAAAGACAAAACAAAGTTTGCTGTCAAAAAAGGAAGAGTTTAGTACTGATCTCCAGTATTAATGTGTAAATGATTCTCTAACTCATGATAGGCAGGAGATGTCCCTTCAAATGTGAATTACTGTAAGTTTCAAGATGATTTATGCTGCTCGGCTATTACATTCACTGATAAAGCACCCCACTCCAAAGTCCCGCAAATTTCATCAAGTTGTAACATTAGCTCATCAATTACCGATTAAACCCATAACAGTAAGCTATGCTTTATACTTAACACAATAAGAGGTTACATTTGCTGCCCAACCTCTGCTGCCCAGAAAGGTAACAACTTAATCTAATTCCTTCAGCTGGTAAATTGTTGTTAGAGATTTTTATTTATATATATTTTACACTGGTAATATTTACTTTTCTTTCTTTTCTGTTTTTTTCCCTCTGTCTTAATCCAATCTTGCTTTCTATCGCTTTTTATTGCTCTCTCTGTATCTTAATTGATTCTAATTCACCCCATTTCTTTCTCTGTCAACTGTGGTTCAGCAGGTGATACTCTTGCTGGTGAGTCAGAAAGTTGTGAATTCAAGTTCCACTCCAGGAGATGAACACATGCTGACATTTCCAGTTCTGAGGGAGTGTTGCACTGTCAGAGATGCTATCTTTCAAATGAGTTATAAAACTGAGGGCCTGTCTGCCCCTCAGATGGGTATAACGGATCCCATGGCACTATTTCAATGAAGAGAATCAGGATTCTTTTTTAGTGTCATGGCGAGTAATGATCCCTCCATCAATATCACCATAAATAAATGAACTAATTATCACAAAGCTGTCGTGCTATCTTGCTCTGCGCTAATTACATTAAAACAGTAACTACATGGCAAAATTATTTACTTGAATCAAAGCCACATTGGGATATCTGCAGGTTATAAAAGGCACCATAAATACATGTTAGTTCTCTTTTTCTCAGTTCTTAAATCTAATTGGTTAAGGAAATTAGCTTACAGTTCTGTTGTTCATTGAGTTCCCAGAGGTTCAATTGTCCTCATTGGAATACTGCTATCAGGTTACAGAGCCAATGAGTTACAGCTCAAAAATATGTCTGAGCTGAAGGGTAATGTCCGACTAACAGAGCATAGAAATGGCTCACCCCAGGAAAATCTCAGCTACAGCTAAAGACAAGGAGATCCAATTACCCAGAGAATGCAGTAAGCAAAAGCCAAAAGAACTGATCACTGGAAAGAAATAATGCCTTCTCCCTGATGCCTATGGAACTGAATGTTCAAGCTTAGTATTAGCATTAATGTGTTTGCAATAATGCAGCTGGGCCACTTGTTAAGCTGTGGAACATGCACTTAGTAATTTTACTAAATAAAACCTGCAAATATTGTCTAATTCACCCATTATGCTTAATCAACTGATGTAAACTTAATAGGGTGGTCAATGCAGTTAGGTGGTTCAGCCTTAAAACACACCTCCAGTTGTAAAGAATTCTGCTTTATACTTCTAAAAGGATCTGCTTGGCAGTGTAGCTATTACTGGGAGCACTCCTTGCTGTCATTTCCATGTAGCTTATCATGTAGCTCAAGATATGTTTGCATTGGGGTTAAATGGGGTTAAATCATGTTAAATCAACAACAACAAAGCTGATTCATATACTTCAGCAAACTCCTCATCTCCTTTCTGGTACTGTACCTTTATCAATTACCTTACATCTATGTGACTTCTGATTGCTGACCCTCTTGCCAGTGGAAACAATTACACTTTATTTGTTCTTTCAAAACTGTTTGTAATTATATTGCATCAGTCAAGGGAGAGTTTAATGCAGAATGTCTGAGTCTCAGCTGTTTATGATAAGTACCTACTAAAGCATAAGCAGGACCACAGCAAATTGCATTTATGCCGTGCTATTAGGCCAAGTTTGAACTCGAATTAAAAACTATTCACTAACACAGAGTTAAAACTGGACCCTTTAATGTAATCCCAAAGCATTCCTCAGGAATATTACCCAGCAAAATTTGACACTGAGCCACATAAGGAAATATTAGGCAGGTCACTAAAACCTGGTCAGTGAGGTAGGTTTTAAAGTATAGCTTAGAGAAGGATAGAGAGAGTGATGGAGAGATGTTGAGAAGGAATTGCATTGCTTATGACTTGGCAGCGGAAGGCTGCACCTCTGATGGTGGACTGATGGAAATCAGGTGAGGGACAGAAGGCCATAATTGGAGGACCATAAATATCCAGGAGGACTCTAGGGCTGGAGCAAGTTACAGAAATACGAAGGAGCTGAGGCCATGGTGGGATTTGAAAACAAGCAAGAGATTTTTAAATTTAAATGCATATGGTTTATGTTGCACATTGAGTTATAGCAGTGATGGAAGAAAAAATCTGAGTTCTCTGTCAAGTTGCATAGGAAGTGAGCTGTTACTATCTAATTTAATCACAAGCTTTTTTGCTTTTATTCTAATTTATTGTTGGTATGTGGGTGCCTTTGGCCAAACGGTGTTGAATGCCGATTGCTAATTACCCTGAGACGTTGGCACTGGTATACTTTTCTAAGCAGCTGCACACCTCGTGGTGAGGCAAGCACTTCTCAATATATTTTGTTTTTGTACTCTTACTCTTTTCAGTGTTAAGTCAAGTATTTTGTTCCTTTGCAGAGAGCAGATGTTGGATGAACATTTGTGTTCAATTAGTTCCAGATGACTCATCTAAAATTACATTTTGGATCAAAAAAACAAGTTTGGGTTATTTAAATGCAAAAAAAACCCTTTCTATTTATTCCTTTTAATGTAGTGATTCATGATTAAATGATTCAAACATTGCGGCTTTGGATAATAGATTGCTGAAACTCTGCTGTAAAACCATCCATGTGTGTTGTGGTCGTGTTGTTTCAATGCTGCTAATTATCTGGCTACTGCAACCGTTGGGCTTATGAACTTTAGGTTGGATATTTGTTTCAGTCATGACTCAGTGGGTAGCAGTCTCAGCAACCGAGTCAGAAGGTTGTGGGTTCAAGTCTCACTCCAGAGACTTGAGCACACAATTCTGGTTGATACTCCAGTGGCAATATTGATGCAGTGTTGCACTAATTGTTAGAGTTGCCGTATTTTGGATGAGGCCTGTTGTACTTTCTTAGGTGCACATAAAAAGATTCTGGGTTACTATTTCAACTACGAACAGATGACTCTCCCAGTTATCCTACTGATATTTATTTCATCACATCAACATCAGTGATAGCAGATTTTTGGTGGTTATCATGTTGCTGTTTGTGGGTACTCACTTTGTGCAAATTAGCTTTGGCTCCTTCAGCAGCAAACTTAAAATAGATTATACAGAGCTTTATGCCACTGAAAATTAAATGGATTCATTTGGTTAAAGAGGCAGCATTTATCCAGAATTATTGATGTTCCATTCACCTTATGTTACACAATGAAACCCTGAGCTATGAAGACTTTCCCCTTACTGATCGATAGCAGCATTTTGTAAAATTACTACCACACCATGTATGCCCAATATAATTAGTCCATTAACAGGGTGTGCACATTTTATGATATTTTTGTTCCTTTCCTATCTTGAACTTAAGACCTCTATTTGTCAATCTCCAAGATATTTATTTTTATTGTGTATTTGGTTTAAGATAATTACAAAGAGATAACGAATTTTAGAGACTCATAAGATACAATCACATTTATCATAATGATACAATGCTTTGCTCTTAACATGGTCTTTTGAGTATTTGTTGAAAATATTAATGTAAAAACATTTGTACATGGATAAACATCTTGGAAGGAATGCAGTAAGTAATTAAGGGCAGCCAGCGTTTGCAGTTTAATCTGCTTTGTGGGAAATGCTTCTGTTTCTTGAAGACTGTATTGAAACATTAACACATTAGTGCTTTTAGACAGTGAGGATATTAATCCATCACCCTACTGTCAAATTGTCTAAGACTGTACCCCAGCAAAAAAAGGATCAATGTCACAGAACTTTTCCTAATTCACAACAGATATAGAGTAAGCTTTGTCCAAATTTTGAGCCTTGGACAAAATCAGTTGCCAACTGACAAGCGCATCATTGTGTTGCAGTCATGTTTAGGCTAGAATCTGAGTGGCAAAGTAATTTTACCCTGCTGCCTGTAGATAGATTGCTCAAATAGCAAAAATGACTGTACTAGCTACCATTTAAAGAAAAGAGATAATTTTATTTTAAATCAGTGTACATTAGCCATCCATGCCAAACATGGATTTATGGCTGCTCAAAATTTCCACTGTAGTTTAGGAACATTATTCTTTAATTGTTTAGGAATAACTTTACATGGTATTTACAACACAGAAACTAACCATTTGAATAAGTTAGTTGGAGGAAATCTCTCTAGAGAGTGTGGTGAATGGATACATTTAAGGGGAAATCAGACAAGCATGAGGCAGAAAAGAATAGAAGCATATGTCGATAAGGTGTGATGAAGAGGGGTGGGAGATGCATGAGTGGGGGATATTTACCAGCATAGATCAATTAAGCCTTTATCTCTGCTGTAAATTCCAGTTTAATTTTATCTAGATGTAAAACTTTGCCTTTGCTTGTCATTTAATTTTTCCAATGGTGTGTTACTTCCCACAAGGTGTCAGGATCAGTGCTCCTTTGGAACATATGGAGAAAACTGTGCTGAAAGGTGTAGTTGCCTCAATGGAGGCGAGTGTTACCACGTCAATGGTGCTTGCCTCTGTGAATCAGGCTTCATGGGAGATTCCTGCGAGGTTCGGATGTGTCCCAACAGAGTTTATGGAATCAACTGTGACAAAAGCTGTCCCTGCCATCCAGAGACCACACTGAGGTAAGCTGTGAGTGGACCGCAGTTAAAAGTGCAAAAACACAACTTGTGAATGTTTATATTATGACCTTGACCATTCAATCACACCAATGTCATCACTGAAATAAGCATCAAAATGAATGCAAAAACTGCCAAATGGCACCAACGCAGTTTCTGTACATTTTCTATCTAACTTGCTGGCCTGAAACTGAAGCTGCAATGTAGTCTTGTTCATGCTACTGAATGTGCTGCTATTTAGTTGTTTTGTTCTTAGTTAGTTTCACCCTGGTTATTGGAGCTACTTTATAAGGAGCATACCTAAATCATCCACAATTCTGTAGCTATTCTGCTCTGTGTGGGTACAGGAGATAGAATTACATATAGTTTTAGAGCACAGAAATCTTGGTGTCTGCATCCCTAGGGCTGTCCATCTAGTTCCTTCTGTCTTATTTATACTTTGGGAGATGTTGGTCAGGATCAGCTGAGAAGCAGATACAAAGGATAGTTTAACCAAACTTACTGCAGGGAAATCTACAGAACTGGGTCAAATAAATAAAACAAAGAGTTGATGATGCTGAAGATCTGAAACCAAAACAGAAATTGCAGCTGAAACTCAGCACATCTGGCAGCATCTATGGAGAGCAAACAGAGTTAATGTTTTGAGGTCCAGTGACCCTTCTTCAGAAATGAATCCTGAGTTTCTCAAGGATTGGCTGGAATGCTGATTTTTCATGTCCCAGTAATATTCCTCAATGACTTCAAAGGGAGTAAAATCAGGGGCTGCAAAAATAGCATTTCACTCCCTATGGTCGATATCCCAATGTAACACTCATCTGATTTCCCACTGCCGCCACCCTGATGAAGCTCTCCATGCTGTACTATCCTGATTATACAATTAATGTTATGAAGTTCCAATTTAGTTAACAGTAGCGTGATCCAATGACACTGGAGCTGTACAATTTCAACTCTGTTATATCTGTCAGTCTCTTCCTGTCTCTGTTTCTATCTCTTTGTCCCCCTATCTCTCCACCTCTCTCTATCTCTGTCTCTCACTGCCTATCTCTTTCTGTCACCGATTGTCTGTTTTGCTTTCTATCTCTCCATCAGTGTCTCTCTTTCTGTTACTTTTTTGTTTCTTTCTATCTGTTTTCCTCCGTTTCTAGGTGATTTCTACCTTACTCTGTTATTGTTGAATTTCTCTCTGTGTATGTAAGATGCACGCATGTGCATCTATCAATGTGTCTTAACTGAACTAGCAAATGAGTATGTTCATCCAGTATATTTTTTGTCTGTGTCTGTACTTAGTATTGTATTTTCCATTTTAGCTCATAGTGCCAGAATATAGCAGCTGGATTTCACTGAAGCCCTGTGTAATGTCATTTACCAAACAGGATGATGTCTAAATCGGGCTCTCAGAGGGAGGCACATCAGTCTTGAATAACTTGAAAGCACTGTTTCTCAGCTGTCAGTTACTGAGTGAAATGTATTCTTCAAGGGGACAATAGTGTACAAGACAACAATTTCACAAGTGAAAACTGAAATGTTTCTCAGTATTCTCAGAGCATACAACTATAATTAAAAAACATGGAGCAAGGTTATAAAAGTAAAGTACGGCCAATTTATTCACTGCTATTGAGTTAGCCTGCACACTGAAATACATTGTGGACAGTCGTTTGCGACAGCCCATGATTGAGTTGTGGTTGAAGCAGTTGATATTCTTGATCTCAGCACCCTAGCCCTCCCCACCCCTTCCTCCTTTGCCCCCACCTCTGAATAAAATACTTGCAAGGATTAAAACAGCTGTGGTCTTCCGTGAGAGGTATTTCAGGTGGGACAGCTGCCCATTGAACAGGTAGCACAACTGAGAACAATAGTCTCTCAAGACCAGTCTGCACTGTCATCTCCAATTACTGGCTTGATGATGAATTTCTGAACACATGCTGGCCTTGGTTTCAAGCTTCCAGTTGATTAACTGAGTCATTTTTACAGTCCCCGTGCTGGAGCACATTATGTTTTGTGACCAGTTTGCCAAGGAACATTAAGCATATAAGAATTAAGAGCTGGAGTAAGTCCACCAGTACCTTAAATCTGCTCTACCATTCAACAAGATCATGGCTGACATCCAACAGTAATTCAGCCTCCAACACTATATCACTACATTGCTTAATTCCCTGAATACCAAAAATCTATTGATTTCTATCTTAGATGTATCCAATGACTGTATATCCACAACCTTATGGGGTAGAGAATTCCAAGATTCATAACTCTTCAGGGAAAGAAATTCCTCATCCTTTCTCTTCCAAATGAACAATTCTTTTTCTTGAGACCGTGATTCAGATTCTTGAATTCTTCAGCCAATGGAAACATTTTCTCAGCATCTAGGCTGTCAAATGCTTAAGAATTGGATATGTTGTAATTTTTTTTATTTTATTTATTATTGTTACATGTACCTACGTACAGTGAAAAGTTTGGCTTTGCGTGCAGTACAGGCAGATCATACCATATAGAGTGCATCAGGGTAATAGAACAGAGCGAGGAATACAATATTATGGCTGCACAGAAGGCACATAATGAGTGAGATCAACATTAAATTTAAAATTTGAGAAGTCCATTCAGAAGTCTGATAACAGTGGGGAAGAAGTTGTTCTTCAATCTGGTACGTGCACCTGTCATTATTTTCCAGGAAACATATCCAAAATCATTCCTCACAGCAAAATCGTCTCATTTCACAAACCATTAAGTCTAGTTAACTGTTGTCTGATTTCCTATAATTTGGTCCTAGTTAGCCCTGGATGGGAAGGTCCTATCCCAGAAAGGACATAGATCTGAGTGCTTATCAAAAACAAGAAAGTGAGGGTAGAAAATTGCAGGAGGAATGATTTGACTTCACAGGAAGGTTGTGTTGACAACCATGCCCCACTATTTCACAAGCCATCACAAAATGCATGGAATCCCAATTAGGCTACGAATGTAATCAATTTGTCTATGTGACTGCTGTTCAGCACAAAAGCAATTCGCATCACGTTTCGGCATTAACAGAAAATATTATAACACATTTAAGTTAAACAAATGACAGAGTAAAGAAAGGATTACTAATATATTATTATGCACTTTAAACTATAGACTTTTCTTAAAAAAAAACCCAAATGCATTTGCATGATTAGGAGAGAAAAGGCAGACAGTTTGACACATGTTATATGTGATAAACATTATAGACAGTTAACAACAATCTTCAAATCAAAAGTCCAGATCACAAAAGTTGTTTAAATTGTCTCTTTCTTTTGACTTCAGCACTGGTGACACCCTGTTTTCTGTAAAGCAATGGCCAGTCATCACATTGATAGTCGATCAGATGGACCTAGGTCTTTTCTTGTTAGAATTCTTTCTTTTAAACTTTCTTGGTTTCTCAATCTTTTCGCCCAAAAGGAGAGTCACTGGCTCTGGATGTTTCTGGCTGCCCTGCACCTACAGATTTGTAGCAAACTGCAGAGGGCTATTGTCAGACAATCTTTCCTTAACTCAAAGACTCTCGGGACCTCTCCATCTCAAAGTAACAATTCAAAAGCTTCAAAAATACCATCTTGCACAGTTAAGGATATGCACCACTTAATTTTTACATGTTGGAAATCTGTTCTGGTCTTTCAGCAATATGGTAGTGTCCATCCTTGATTACAGTTTATAGACTGGAAAGGAAAAATATGTGTTTACTTACAATAATCAGGGCGAAATGGTTGGGGCAAATTTTAAAGGGATATGATTATGCATGGGACAAACATTGTTTCGCCCACAAAGCTTTTAAATAATTTTCTCATCCTAGCCAATGGTGGCAATGGGAAAAGGATGGGGTAGGTCAAGATGGAACCAGCAGCTGAATAAATAAACATTGAAAAGGCAACAAGCAAAATATGCTGTAGAGTCAAGGAATTGAGTCTCTGTAATGATCAGTGAGATAGGCTTTTAACGAGTTTCCATAATGGCTTCACTCATGTTTTGTTTTGGGCCCATGGATCAGAGATGACCTATTCTTCTCCAAACCCTACCTGGAAACCTCCCCCACGTCAGCCCAGTCTTTGTTGTTGGCTCCAATATGCTGTTCCATAGCACTAATGATGTGTTTACTGCCTGTAACACATAAAGCATGCCCTCACGTTAGGCTACTGACGGCTTATGCCCTCATCTCTAGACTTGGTTTATGAGAGGATGGACATAGCTGGAATATGAGGTGAGGGCATGTGATTTCATATTTTGGATTTGATTTTAAAAAAGCACAGATTTATGTACTAGGACATTCTCTGTCTCGTTCTTTCTCTTTCTCTCTCCTTCTCTCCCTCCCTCTTCCTTTCTCACTTTCTTTCCCTTTATATCTGCCTAGATTTATCTATTTCTCTCATGATGCTCACCAGTGATAGGTACACAACCAGCTTCTTCAAACTCAGTTTTGAGTAAACAATCATTGGATTGATTTGTGTGCAGAATATCCCATTTCTTCATATCTAACTAGATTAAAGCAGACATTTCAATGAAATTTAAAGAATCTACAGAGACAAGTTAAACTGTCTGATATTAGCAATGCACTTAAATATAGTTTACTTTGTTATTTTAATGAAGTTATATAATGTGCCTTGGTTGACAATTCTATTAAAATGGCAAATTAAGATGTTCAGAAGAGTGTTAGAATTGTTGAAGATTTAATATTGCAGAGCTATGTCGTATATTGTTTCATTTGTGTTTGTTGTTGGATGCAAAACTAACAGGAGGGAAAAACTGGCTGCTCCATTATGTCTACCCTGCATCACAGAGATTCAAGCGTTCTGACTAAATGTTTCCTCCCCAGTCTCCCCATTCCATTGTCTCCTGGAAAAGATGAGGCCAGTGAGTGAAAAAAGTTTTGTTTGATCACGCTCCTGTGAAGTGCCTTAAAACACTGAAGACTCTATTTAAATGCAAGTTGGAGGATTTCTCTCTGACCCTTTAGCTGAGTTATTAATGCTGTGCCGGAGCATCTACCTTTCTTATGTAAGCCAGGAGAGTAATAGTTGGCACATTATCTAACCATAAGGGCATCATATCCAATCCCATTTTATCTTCAGCGTCCCCTCTTTTAACACCTGCTAAGACTCAATTGTAGCACAACAACAACTTGCATTTAAATGGAGTCTTCAATGTTTCAAGGCGTTTTACAGGAGTGTGATCAAACCAAAATTTGAAGCAGGGTCCATTAAGGCGATTTTAAATCAGGGAACACAAGCCCTTTGTTTTATTTTGGACTGTGGGGAATGTTTCGGACATTAAGGGATTGAGGGAAATCGAATAGGACATGAAAGTAGAGCTTTCATAACCGTGATCTCATTACAAGCTTGAATAGCAGCCTGGCCAACTCTGGCATTTATTTCTTATGTCTGTACAGTCAAAGAGGTAGGTTTTAAAGGACATCATATAGGAAGAGAGAGAGAGAGACAGAATCACAGACAGCCACGGAAGGATTTCCGGATCTTAGTGCTTTGGCACGGCTGCCAATGGAAAGGCGAAGGAAATCAGGCATTTCTAAGAGGCCAGGCTGGAGGAACATGTAGATCTCAGAGGGTTGTGGGACGGAAGGATGTTGTAGAGGTAATAACTGTTAACTGTGATTCTAATTCAGAGAAATCTTTCTACCCTGTACGACTTGGCTTCTCATCACTGACAGTTTGCTAAGCTATAACTTTGGGACATTTGCAATGGTTTGTTTAAGAAAGATTGAAAATGATATAGCCCCTCTCTGTCGAAGTGATTAACAAAAGCAGAGACTGGCAGGAAACAAAAACAAGTGTTTTAAGTGAAACAGTTGTGCTCATAAGGCTAATCGCTATGCTGCAAAAGACTAAGGCGCCTTTTATCCTCTCTTACCAGCTGTCACCCCATGTCTGGCGAGTGTATATGTAAACCTGGATGGTCTGGGCTATACTGCAATGAGACATGTGCCCCTGGATTTTATGGTGTATCTTGTCATCAAATCTGCAGCTGCCAAAATGGGGCTGACTGCGACAGCGTAACTGGCAAATGCATCTGTGCCCCAGGGTATAAGGTAACAGGACTTGTTTATGCTGCCAAGGATTTATGTGAAGCCCTTTCTTTTCTTTAAATTACACCATGTTTGACAGGCAATTTAACCTTTTCGTTTCTGCTAACCCGTTTTGTTCCACAATACGCAACCTCAATGTTGACAACCCTTTTCATCCCAGAAGAACAGCTGACAAAATTTCTCACATCTGCTCCCTGTGCTGACTTGCAGAAAACTCAGGAACAGGCCATTCAGTCCAAGTGGCCCATTCTGGTATTAATGATCCATGTAAGACCCTGACCAACTCCTCTACATCTCAGCTGATCAGGAGTCCTTCCGTCTCTTTTCTCCCTCATGTGTTAGTCTAAGTTCCCCATAAATGCACAGATACTATTCAGCTCAGTCAGTCCCTGTGGTGGTGTGTTCCTCATTCTCACCATTCTCTGAGTAAAGAGGTTTCTCCTGAATTCCCTACTGGATTGATTAGTGATCAACTTATAGTTGTGGTGCCTGCTTTGTGCTGGCTTTGCTTTGTCTCACAAGTGGAATCACCATCTCTATGTCTACCTTTATGAACAATTTTATAATTTAAAAGCCCTCTATTAGGTCACCCTGCGTGTTCTCTTTCCTGAGTTCCAGTCAGTTCAATACTTCATTGATATTCATCTTATTAAGAGATATTCATTACAGAAAAGAAAAGGGATTTGAAGCAATCCATATTTTTTTTATCTCTCCTAGCAATTAATACCTAATTCCAGAATAACCACCACTTCCCTCTTTTTAGATGATTTAGCTATCATTGCCTATCAATTGTATCTATCAATTGTATCACAGGGATCTGATTGTTCGATTCCTTGTCCTGTTGGTACCAATGGAGTCAACTGTTCCTCTTCCTGTGACTGTAAAAATGGAGCAGTCTGCTCACCTATAGATGGCTCATGCACCTGTAAGGCAGGTAAGGGAATTTCTGTAATATCTGAGACGGAAATCAGGAAATATATTTTGCTGCGCTATGTTTCTTCAGCCCTTTGAGAATTTTAAAGGAACAGTCAACATTACAGGCAGCAGTCTCCCACACTAAACATACATGTGTTTGGCTGCTTTTACATTGTATATTGCTTTGCCTTGATCTTGCATTTTAATTGCACCTTTAATGTAACAAACTCCCCAAGGATCTTCACAGATGTGAAGACTGTATGAAATATTTGGACAGGTGACTGAAAGCAAGAATTACCTTTAAATAGGAGAGAGATAAAGAGGTTTAGGGGAGGGAATTCTAGAGCTTAGAACCTTGGCAGCTGAAGGCATGGCCACTAATGGTGGAATGATTAGATTTGAAAACAAGAAAGAGAATTTTAACATTGAGGCTTTGGTGGGCCCAGGAGCCAGTGTGAGTCAGCCCGCTCTACAACTGAATGAAACCACTATTGACCCATGCAAGGACATTAACACTTGTATGTTTTGTTTTTACTGGCTCACCAAAGTAGGTAAAGTACTAACACTTGAAAACTTGCCATACAGATCAGAGTGTGTGGGAAGAAATCAAATCGGGTTGTCTCACTATCATTCCTGTTCCTGGGAGACAAATAATGCATTTTAACCAAATTCCTATTTTACACAAGAATTGTATTTTCATTCAACCAGCTCTGGGAATGTAGTATTGAAAACTGGTGCTAGAGATGCTGCTATTGTTGTGCCCTGACATTGATATGAGGGATTCACATTACAGACCCCAAATCTTTGTGTAAGTGGAACTGTAGGTAAATAGGTTAAGGGAAAGGAACTCAATTGTTTTCTAAATATAGTTAGAGCATTCGGAAGAAATAAATTTTGTTCATTTATCTTTGACACCCTCTTTTTTTGCAGGTGAAGGTATATTGTTCCTTGGCCCCCAGCAGTCCTTATAACTTCACTACATTACCCTGACATTTAGCAAGATGTGGGGCAGGGAGCCAGCTTCATTGTCAAGCTGTATCCTATACTCACCTGATCTTCATGCAATCTATTTTAATCCAACGAGTTGTTGTGATCTAGAATGCGCTACCTGAAAGGGCATTGCAAGCAGATTCAAAACAACTTTTGAAAAGAAATTGAATTAATATCTGAAAAGGGAAAATTTGCAGGGCAAAAAAACAAACTGTTTATTCTGAGAGACTGTTTGCCTTCCCAAACAAACCAGAATGTTAGATTTGTGATTCATAGGTTGTTGGGGAAGTCAGGGGTAATGCATTTTCGCAGTTGCCTCTGATTAGTCCCACAGTGATGATCTAAGCTAAAGAAGCCTACACAACAACATGGGAGAGAAATTGTTGTTCAATGTGGAAAGTACACTATCAGATTTAAGGAGTTGAGAAGCGCAGGAGAAGGCCATTCAGCCCTTCACACCTAAGCTGGGCTTCTTGAAAGATCTTTTCAATCAGTTCCACTCCACTGTTCTTTTATTATAAAGCTACAATTATTTTCCTTTCTAAGTATTTATCAAGTCTCCCTTTGGAAGTTACTGTTGAATCTGCTTTCAGCACCCTCTCAAGCAGCACATTCCAGATCACATCAACACATTGTGTAAAAGAAAATTTCTCCTATTGTCCGTTCACATTGATTTCGTTACATTAAATCTGTGTCCTTCGGTTACTACTGTCCTGCCAGTGGAAGCAATTTTATGCTCACTGCTGCTTAAACCTGACTTTGAGTACTCTTTGAGATCCTTTTTCAGAAACTGGAGAAACTCTGTATTATCGAAAAAAAAATTCCTGGCAAATACGCTGGACTAAACCTGCATCAAATTCTTCTTGACCATACCCAACTCCAGCTTGCATTCTTATTCAACCTAATCGTTCTTGTGATGTGGGTGTTGTTGGCAACGGACACTTAGTCCGCATTCCCAGTTGCCTCTTGTAAAAGTAGCAGTGAACCTTACTCTTGTAATGTGTAGACCATGTGATGAAGGTCCTCCACAGTAAGGAGGCCCAGGATTTTCACCAAGAAACTATGAAAGAAACTTTACATTGAAATACGTCGATCCATATTTACTTCCATTTATTTACTTTAATGTTTGCCTCAAATTTGTAAGTTGTAAATCATAAATTGTTAAATTTTGCAACAAAGGTCAGTATTTTGGGGCCTTCCTTCAGCTCCCTATGCACTGAGATTTGGAATTCCCTCCCTAAGCCTGTCCCCTCTCTCCTTCTCATTCTTCTATTAAGACACACCCTAAAAACCTACCTCTTTGACAAAGTTTGAGTCTTAATCTGTCCTATAAACTTCCATGTCAAACTTGATTGTGCCCCTAAAAGCCTTCTGGGACATTCTACTATATTAAAAAATACAAGTTGTCACAATATATGGCGAGGAAGGGAGAGGAGACAATTATTTTCAGAGAATGGATGAAGGTTGCATTTTCTGGATATTAAAACAACTGTCATTACAACACTTGACCAGACAAATCTGTTTGTTGTACTACATTGACTTTTATTGATATGCTGGGCGTGGAGTTGCTGTTCATGGTGTAAACCATTATTGTTTTGGCCCTCACAGGTTGGCACGGAGTAGATTGTTCCATTCCCTGCCCTCGTGGTAAGTGGGGCCTTGGCTGTAATTCAACTTGTCGCTGTGCCAATGGAGGAGCTTGTAATGCACTGGATGGAACCTGCACCTGTCTGGCAGGATGGCGAGGAGATAATTGTGAACATCCATGTCAGGTAACCAGCAACACATCCCATCCTGAGCTGAAAATTGTTGTAATAATCCAGAGGACCCAAGAACGTCAACATTTAGAGTATGGATACTATTTTCATGTGAAATATCACTTCACATTTAGAGCTTTGGTGATAATCAAATGTTTAATTTTTTTACATTCAAAACTAATACTAGTTATAAGAGTATGAATGAAAAAAGAATTTGGTGTAACTCGATTCTGCAAAGTTAAAAAAATATTGATTATCATCTAATTATTGGGTCTCCTAGATTGCTTCTGATAATTGTACATTCTAACATTTCTTAATGTTTTTTCTTTCTCTCATTAATACATTTACACCAATGCTTTTGGGAAGGAATTAGGCTCAGCCTATTTTCTGCCTCTTGTAATTGTCTGTCAGCCATCCAGCTGTCCTTGCTGAGATGGTGAAGTCTGAATCTAGACCCTCATGGTTTGGAACTATTTGAGCGTGACACTTCCAGTCTTCCCCCAGTGAAATTCAGCAGCCTTCCACTAACAATATTGCAATTCCAGGGCAGCACATTCGACGAGCACCAGAATAGGTACAGCACATCCTAGACAGAAACTATGGGAAAGGATGAAAGTGATCCATTCAGTTCTGTTTGTGTCATTCAATGTGTTGCTGGATAAAGTTGTTCATAGAAATGTTTTTGATGTTGACCGGGGCCAGGTATGATAGGGCACCTCAGATGAATGTAGTAGTGGGGAATGGGGGGAGCCACGGTGGTAAGGGGAAGTTCTCAAATGAGAATGGAATTCTGAACAAGCATTTGTGCACAGCCCATTCAGAGTGAAGAGCCCCAGGATGCAGCCTCCTCTGCCTTCTGCTCCTCTTCCTCATCATCTTCTTTCTCCTCCTCAGCTCATGGTGGGAATAGCTGCACCTCGTCATGACAACATGATGGAGAGTGCAGCAGACCACAATGAACTTTGACAGGTCACTCAAGTGTATACTGGAAGTGTATACTGCTTTCTTATGCACATGTGGCTATACAAGGGTAAGAAGCAGAAATGTGGTGAAGCAGGCCATCGGCATGCTGAAGCAATGCTACCTCCTTCACTGTCTACAATGCCATCAATTTGGTGTCATCCGCAAACTTACTAATGCCTTCTGTATTCTCATCCAAATCATTTATATAAATGATAAACAAAAGAGGACCCAGAACCGATCCCTGTGGAACACTGCTGGTCACAGGCCTCCAGTCTGAAAAACAACGCTCGGCCATTACTCTGTCTCCTGCCATTAAGCCAATTATGCATCCAATTGGCAAGATTACCCTGAATCCCATATGACCTAAATTTACTAATTAGTTTACCATGCAGAACCTTATCAAAGGCTTTACTAAAATCCAAATAAACAACGTCTACTGCTCTGCTATCATCAACCTTTTTGGTAACATCCTCAAAAAACTCAAATCATGTCTCATGAACTTGATTTCCTCAAACACAACCATGCTGACTATCCCTAATCAATTTTTGCTTCTTTAAATGTCCATAAATCCTATCTTTTATAATCACCAGCAACAATTTACCCACAACTGAAGTCAGACTCATTGGTTTATAGTTCCCCGTTTTCTTAAACAAAGGTATAACATTAGCCACTCTGTCGTCATCAGGCACCTTCGTAGTTATAGAGGATGCAAATATTTCCGCAAGGGGTCTCATAATGTCCTCCCTTACTTCCCACAACATTCTGGGAAACATTAGATCACGTCCTACAGATTTATCCACCTTTATATTATGTTATAAGACCTCCCAAACTTCCTCTGTAATGTGAACTGTTTCTAAGACATAAAAGTTTATTTCTCTACATTTTCTAGACTCCATTTCTTTCTCCAAAGTAAAAACTGATGCAAAATGTTCATTTAGTACCTCTCCCATCTCCTGGGGTTCAACACAAGGACAATCTCCTTGACCTTTAAGAGGCCCTTCATTCTCTCTAGTTACCCTCTTGCTCTTAATGTATTTGTAGAATCTCTTTCAATTATCCTTAACCTTATCTGCCAATTCAATCTCATAGCCCGTCTTTGCCTTCCTGATTTCTCTCTTAAGAATGCCCCTACACTCTTTATATTGATTAAGAGATTCAATTGAACCAAGTTGTCTATATCTAAAAAAAATTCTTTTTGATTCTTGACTAGAATCTCAATATCTTTATTCATCCATTGTTCCTTAATCTTACCAGCTTACCCTTCAGTCTAACAGGAACAAAATGCCTCTGAACTCTCATCATCACACTCTTGAACACCTCCCACTTGTTAGACATCCTTTTACCTGTGAACAGTCTACTCCAATCAACTTTTGAAAGTTCTTGTCTCGTACCATTAAAACTTGCCTTAATCCAATTACAAACTTTAACTTTTATGGAAGGCCTTTCCTTTTCTATAACCATTTTGAAACTAATAGAATTATGATCTTTAGGTCAAAAGTGTTCTCCCACTTTTACCTCAGTCACTTGCCCTGCCTTATTGCTCAAAAGAAGCTCTAGTTTTGCTCCTTCTCTAGTAGGAGCATCCACATATTGACAAAGAAAATTTTCTTGAGCACCTTTGACAAATTCTTCCCTATCCAAACTTTTAACACTATGGTAGTCCCATAGTCAATGTTTGGAAAATTAAAATCTGCCATTATTGCAACCCTATTATGCTTACGTATTATCTGAGGTCTCCCTACATATTTGTTTCTTAATGTCCCTCTTACCGTTGGGGGGCCTATAGTACAATCCCATCAAAGTGATCCTTTCTTATTTGTAATTTCTACCCATTTTCAGAAATATCTTCCCTAGTTACAGTAGCAATGTATTCCTTAATCAAATACACCAACCCCTGGTTCCTTTCTTGCCTCGTTCTCTATCCTTCCCATAGCATCTAAAACCCAGAACATTGAGCTGCCAGTTTTTTCTGTCTCTCAGCCAAGTTTCTGCAATAGCCATGATGTCCCAAGCTGATGTTCTTAAACATGCCCCGAGTTCATCAGCCTTACCTGTTAGACCTCTTGCATTGAATTAAATACAACTTAGTTCTTCAGAGTTACTACGTACTCTGACTCTCTCTTGTTTTTCTTTTCTAATTGACGTGCTCTCCTCACATTCAGAATTTACCCCATCAATCCTTCCATTTACACTGCTACCTGGAATTTCTCCACTCACCTTCTCTAGCAGTATAAATAGAATATAATAGAATAAGCAAATCTTCCTGCTAAGATATTGGTCCCTTTCCAGCTTAGGTTAGACCCATCCTTTTTGAATAGGTACTTTATATCCCAAAAGACATTCCAATTGCCCAAAGACCTGAGTCCCTGAACAATACACCAGCTCTTGTCATTGATTTATCTCCTTTAACCATTAGTTCCTTCCCTTGTTTGAGTTTGGCATTGGGAGTAAACCAGAAATTACTACCTTTTAAGGTTCTATTTTTTAATCTTCTACTTAACCTCTTAAATTCACTCTGTACTGCTTTAATCTTTTCCCCAAAAATGTCATTTCTACCAATGTGTACAATGATTTCTAGCTTCTCAATCTCACCTTTAACAATATGCTTGAAATGTTTAGAAACATCCTTAATCCTAGCACCAGGACAAACCATCCTAAATTTACACTCACTGCCACAGAATCGCCTGTCTATGCCCCTGACAGGAGAGTCCTCTATAACAATAATTCTATTAAATCTTGTCAAACGCTGCCTAACATAAGAATCGTTCCAAGTGTCCAATAACTGACTGGCCCTTCCATTTTCCTCAGAGAGACTATCCCGCTCAACTGTTCCAAAAACTAAATATCTATTTGAGAGAGGAATAGCCACTGGAGACTTCTGAACTACTTTCTTACCTTTCCTGACAGTCACCCATCTATCTGTCTGATCCTGCTGGGTAATAACTTTTCTTGCCACTTTGTTTTTTGCCTTCTCACCAAAGCCCATCAATTTCAAAGTATTGAGGATGCCAGTTATCTTATAACAGAAATTAGAGGTACCTTGATCCCTGTAATTTAAGATGTGCTGTCTACCCACAGTGTATAGGTTAGTTAGACCTCAGACCCACTGAAGTTCAGTCATAGTTCATGCCGATGCTTCTAGCTACCTTCCAGAATTGAAAGCCCCTGAAGTAGCCCAGGGACATGCATCTGAAATGGAGCAAATAGGAGCATGCAAATATTATTTTTCTAGGGAAGAAGTGGTGGGATATTTAACCTTTGCTTGCCCCGTACCATTGAGTGCAAATGGCTATGGCACAAACTATCAATTATCAACAGGCTGTGTTCAGGTCTGGCCCACCATAAAAGGCAGAAGCTGAAAAAAATACATTGAAGCCCAATGGTGAAATAAGCCAATAGTTTTCTAATCTATCTAATTGTAGTAACTTAAAGTGCTGAAGATTATGGTTGATTTGTATGAAGTTTGGTCTTCTGTTCCAAATCACCCTCAAGCCTGTTCCACCTTTTCAATTCGAAAACACCAGCTTTGTATCTTAAAGCCAAGTAACCAATTTGATTCCGGAGTCCTTGATGTCCTTATGAAACAAAGGTCCATCAGTCTCCGTTTTGAAATTTCAATTGAGCTCCAATTGTGACAGCTTTTTTGTGGGGAGAGAGTTCCAGATTTCCACCAACCTTTGAATGAATAGCTCGGTATTGTTAACATGGTTGATTGTGATATGTACAAGTTTGTTTATTTTTGCAACGTAATCATGAGGGTGCATTTGTTTGATTGCCAGGATGGTTCCTATGGAATTAACTGCAGTGAGCGTTGTGACTGCAGTCATGCTGATGGTTGTCATGCCACCACTGGTTATTGCCGCTGTCTTGCAGGATGGACAGGTCTGTTGCTTTTTCTCTCTAATTTTGATTAAGGACTAGATTGCACTGAAAGTACAGTGCGGCAACTAGTCTTTCAGTCCACAAATTCAATGCCATTGTTGATTCTCCACAGGATCCTCCTTTATCTCATGGTATCAACATATCTTTCTACTCCTTTCACCCTCATGGGAAGAATTGAATAGGTAGAGGAATTTTCAACCCAATGCCAAGCTTGGCCTGCAATAAAATTGAGGACAGACCAGTAATGGGTAGGAGGGCTCACGGGGAGACACCTGAGTAATTTAACAGGCTGTCTCCATCTGCAAATCTGCCAGTAGAGTGGTCTGTTAAATTCTGCCTCTCATTTTTATTTAGCTTCCCCTCAAATGCAACCATACTCTACACCTCAATAATTCCCTGAGGTAGTGAATTCTACCCTCTAATCACTCTATGAATGTTTCTCCTCTTATTGGTATGTGACAATACCATGACAGCAGATTTCTCAGTTGAGGCAACCACAAGCAGTGCAAGTACAAACTATTGATGTTTATCATATATCTCTAGCTGTTGTTTACATCTCCCTTTGAAGTGGAAACATCTTTGTTACATCAATTATGTGTGTTTTAAACAGTACTCCAGCTTCTAAAGTCTGGAATTCCATCCCTAACCCTCTTCATTTCTTACCTTCTTTAAGATGCTCCTCAAAACCAACCTCTCTGACCAAGCTATAGGTTACTTCACCAATATATGCTAATGTGCTTTGGTGTCAATTATACCTGATAATGTTCCTGTGAAGCACTTTTGGACATTTTTCCAGTCTTTCAGTCCACAAATTCAATGCCATTGTTGATTCTCCACAGGATCTTCCTTTATCTCATGGTATCAACATATCTTTCTACTCCTTTCACCCTCATGGGAAGAATTGAATAGGTAGAGGAACTTTCAACCCTATGCCAAGCTTGGCCTGCAATAAAATAGCTGGATAAATTCAAGCAGATATGAGTTGCCTTCAGTGCACATGGTTTTGTGTCAATGCAATGCAGAGGGACAAGTGTGGAACAAATGCAACTCAATTGAACCTGATTGATGTGATTTTTTTTTGGTATATTCCAGTTGCAACATCTGTTGCAAAAGCCAAAAATGGACTTTGGATCAGGAATTCAGGGAATAGGCCAATTGTGACCCTAAAAAGAGAAGGTCTACTAGCCCACTGACTGGTGAATATGTGGGGCACCTAAACCTTTGCTTCTATTCAGGTCTGTGGCTCAGTTTACAAAGATCAGGGAAGTTGCAATAGAGCCCTTTCTTTGGCCTTCGTTCAGGGCAAAATTCTAGTGGAAATTCAGGACTTACTTTCTCCATCATCGCTCCAGATAGCAGCCATCCTTAAGTCACTTTGCCTTGAACCAGAAGCTGTGCATTGGGTAGTGAATGTTCCTTACCAGAGGAAGTCTGCACATGGAGAGGATTCAAAAAATCCCAGCAGTCACAGAAAAGGAGCAGTGCTTCAACACTACAGGAAGTGACAAGATACATTATAATGGGGCAAAGCTGGACCAGGCATACTGAAGACCTCAAACATGACTGGGGACTCCAGCACGTAGACATCTATGGACTCTGCCTTCTCCCTCTTTAGGGGAGCTTTCGGAACCCTTCACTACCACATTGGCAGCCCCAGAAAGCAGTGGTGAGTGAAGGAAAATGGAGGGCCACCCCAAACCTACATCTTCCCCAATCATCATTGGCTATGGCCTTATAGAGGCATGCAAGAATTGTCCAACTACAATATAGTAGCAGGGGATAATGGTCAGGACCTGCAGGCTGCACCTGCCCAACCTCTTCCCTCTCTGTTCATTGATGGACATTCAGCCTAATTGTGAATAATTTGTCCATTTATTCTTCTTGCCTACAACAGAATAAGTTGACCTAGTTTGTAGTTATTTCCAACTAAATTAAGTAGAATTTAATTTAACTCCCTTTAATTAAATCACTTTTCCAGCACAAAGCAACATGAATTTTTTTTATTGTTTAATGCTATAAATGTCCACTTGGCACATGATATTGTTATTCTCAATGGCTGTTTGTCTTAGGTGTGGGCTGCAATCCAAATCTTTCATGAAGAAAATACATTCATTTTATGGTATAAAGTAAATCACTTTGCCTTAAGAAAGAATTGCCAGATGTTGAATTTATTGGATTAAACGTTCTCAGTGAATGCTAAGTGACAGTGAAAGTGCAAATCTGTAATGATACGTTTAAAAATAAACAACAGTTTCTATGTAGTACAAAATGGTTTAGGTACTTGACAACTGTGTCTTATTAATAGCACAGACACAGGCCATTCGACCCAACTGCTTCATGCTGGTATTTATACTGCACACAGGCCAACCCCACCCCCACTCCCATAGTATCATCATCTCACCTATCAGAATAACTTCCCATTTCTTTATCCCTCACGTGTTTGTCCAGCTTCCCTTTAAATACTGTTCACCCCAATCACTCCTGTGAGAACAAGTTTCACGTTCTCACCATCCTCTTGACTAAAGGTTTTTTCTTTCCTGAATTCTCCATTGGATTTGTTGGTGACTATCTTAAATCTATGGCCCCTCATTCTGGTTTCACCCGAGTGTAGAACATCTTCCTGATCTCTATCGTGTATAAAAAACAACTTCATAATTGTGAAGACCTCTATTGGCTCAGCTGTCTCTTTCCGAAGGGAAAAGAGCACCAGCCAATTCAATCTTTCAGAAATGATCTGGAACATATTTCAATTTTTGTCAGTATTTCTGGGTTGTACCCCACCGTAAAATTTTAGTTAACAGATTGGTTTCAAACTATTGAAAATGGAGTTGTTTGCAATTGCACAATTGGACCTTTGATTCTATTTTATATGAATGCTGAATTAAACTTAAGAGCCCCACGTGTAATGCATCGAGCATAAAATGAAGGTGCATTTTTTTTTTAAGAGCGCTGCCTAGCTGAAGTTTATCGTGTCCGCTGTGCAATTGCCTAGCAACTTGGATGGCTCTCAAAGAGTCCTTTGTCCTTTTCATTGACATTCCATTCCATCATCGTACTACTTGTCATCATCACAACACATACAAAGATTCTACTAAATGATCATCTTTCTGCCACTGAAGGGAAAATATTATATATTCATTTTTTAAAAAATGAAAGCTGCTCCCGTAATGAAGGAGAACCGTTTGATTTTTCTTTAAAAAAAACAGTTCAGTTTAAAAAATGTTATGCTTCACTAATTTGCTTTATTTACGCTGTTACATAATGCAGCGTGCTTTCTGTGGGATCCACTCAGTTTTCTCATCAGCTGTGGCCAAGTGATTCATTCACTAACAAGACAGGCCCAATTGTAAGGCAAGTAGATACAATAAGGACTAAACTCTGCGATGGATGTTTACTGGCATTCCATTTTGAAAGAGATATTCACTGGTTGGTGCTGTAAAAATAAAAGGCAAGATTGTTTCTGTTGCATTAAAATTTTCTGTTTCATTAATATGCCATGGAGTTATGTGGCACATCTGCTTGTGTGGTCTCAGATAATTTATCACAGGCGATAATGAAATAAATTTTTATCTTTCATTACTGCACCTTTAAATTGAATCTAGTAAACTCCCAAGATAGGTACCCTGTTCTCCTCACTCCCTTTCCTGACTGTAATGTTTGCTAATTGTGTCATCGCCTACCCATGGACAACTTGTTTGAAAATGTTCAGTTTATCACCAAACACCGACAGCACCCCAACCCCCGAAATTCGGAAAGCCTGTTTAGCAGAGCAGTCTCGCCGGGATCTGGTTGATTGGCAGAACAGGCTGAAGAGTTGAATGACCTCCTGTTCCTTCAGTTCCCATCACTAACATGACAAGATGTTTTCCTTTTGCCTGTTATTTCCAAGTTCCTTATTTGGACACTGTTAATCTGTGGTTGACAGTGATGCATTCTTGCCTTAGTGGGCCAGGAATGCTGTGAATAAAGAAGTTTAGTCAAACTCCCAACTTAATTCAGAAACTTGAGCAGATTATAGAATCATAGAGCCATGCAACACAGAAACGGCCCAATTTGTCCTTGCCAACCAGGTTTCCTAAACTGAACTAGTCCCATTTGCCTGTGTTTGGTACATAATCCATTAAACATTTCCCATCCATGTACTTGTCCAAATGTCTTTTATATGTTGTAATTGTACTCGCCTCTACCACTTGGTCTGGCAGCTCATCGTTAATAGTGTTAGGCCAACGTTGAAAGATAGGGGTGTATTTCCTTGGGAACTTCTGCTGCAACTCAACCAGGAGACTAAAAGGAAAGAATAGAGAGCTAGTCACACTGATTCCTGACATTTGCAACTATTCTGTGAGGAGCAAAAACCATCTTCCTACAACAACTTGCATCTATAAAGCCCCATTGAGTATAACAAAACATCCCAAGGCGTCTCATAGGAATGGTTATCAAACAAAATTTACACACTAGGTCACATAAGGGAAGATGGTAGCAGAATGACTCGTTAATGGAGGCCCAGGCTGATGGGTTCAAATCCTGCCACAGCAGCTGGTGAAATTTAAATTCCGTTAATTAATCTGCACTTAAAAGCTAGACTCAGCGATGTTGATCATGAAGTTTTCATTGATAGTTGTAAAACCCATCTGGTTTATAAATGTCCTTTAGCAGAGGAAATTGCCATTTTATTTTCCTTTATTCATTCATGGGATGAGAGTGTCGCTGGCTAGGCAGCATTTATTGTCCATCCCTAATTGCCCAGAGGGCAGTTCAGAGTCAACCACATTGCTGTGGTCTGGAGTCACATGTAGTCCAGACCAGGTAAGGATGGTAGTTTCCTTCCCTAAGGGACATTAGTAAACCAGTTGGGTTTTTCCTGACAATTGACAATGGTCATCATTAGATTCTTAATTCCAGATATTTGTTGAATTCAAATTCCACCATCTGCCATGGTTGGATTCGAACCCGAGTCCCCAGAACGTTGTCTGGGTCTCTGGACTAACAGTCCAGCTGTCCATACCACTAGGCCATCACCTCCCCTTCTATGTGGTCTGGCCTAAATATGATCCCAGACATAACAAAGTGGTTGGCTCTTGACTGCTGTCTGAAGTGGCTTTCATAAGCCATTCAGTTCAAGGAGAATTTGGTACGGGCAACACATGCATGTCTTGCATCCCATGACAAAGGTAAGAAGCTATTAGGACAGGTGACTAAAAACTAGGTCAAAGAGGTAGGTTTTAAATAGTATCTTAAAAAGGAAGAGAGAGGCAGACAGGGAATTCCAGAGCTGAGGGTGAAGGTAGATGAAGGTAGTGCCGTCAATGATGTAGGGCAGATGGGGAACAGCACTGAAAACACATTCAAATTAAGACGCTCCACCAAAATTAAGCCTGTACATCAAACTGTTGGCACCCAGTGAGGTCAGATGTACAGGCAGTCACATAGCTAATGTGGACCTCAACTGGTGTGGTTCAAGATAAAGGATTTTGTTCTAGTTCCCAGCAGAAAAATATGTTTTATTTTCTAAAACATTTCCAATGATCTTCCCTCTTTATATTAGAGAGACATGGGAGCCAATGTTGTGTTGAGAAGAGAAGTCCTGGGATTTTAATAACTGTACCTTTAGACTCCATGTTGTCAGCTGCATTGATTCAAAACTCTGGAATTTCCTTCCTAAACTCCTTTGTATGCTTCATAAAAGCTGCCCTGATATTGCCTTATTTGATTTTGAGTCACATTTTGCCTGATAATGCTACTGAGAAGTGTCTCAAGGCATTTTTAGCCAGTTAAAGGTGCTATCCAAATGCCAGTAGTTTTGGTGAAGTATGAGTGACATTGATGCTTTTCTACTGACTAAGCAAAAGCCTGTAAGGTTGGTATAAGCTGCTCTAATTGATGAACATTTCTTTTCCCTCTGTATTTAGGCATACACTGTGATAGTGTGTGTGCGGAAGGACGCTGGGGACCAAACTGCACACTGCCGTGTAATTGCAAGAATGGCGCTTCCTGTTCACCCGATGATGGAGCTTGCGAGTGTGCACCTGGATATAGAGGCACGACCTGTCAACGCAGTAAGAAATGCATGGATCTTTGGGCCAGATTGCATTCCTATATTTCAGTATTGTGATACCTGTACTTAGAATTGTTGGGCTGTGTCTTAACATCCAGACATGGGACCGTTAGCTCAAGTGGGATGTTAACATTCCAAAAATCTCACCACCTCATCTCCAACCTGCTGACTTTTAGCTTTAAGTGAGGTGAGATAAGAGAAGTTGGTGCGGGGGTGCGGTACAGGGCAGTGTAGTGTTAAGGCTGGTATCCCATGATTTTACCTGGTATACACATGGGGAGGCAATGGCCTAGTGGTATTATCGCTAGACTGTTAATCCAGGGATCCCAGATAATGTTCTGGGGACCCGGGTTCAAATCCTGCCACAGCAGATGGTGGAATTTGAATTCAATAAATATCTGAAATTAAGAATCTAATGATGACCGTGAATCCATTGTCGATTGTCGGGAAAAACCCATCTGGTTCACTAATGCCCATTAGGGAAGGAAACTGCCATCCTTACCTGGTCTGGCCTACATGTGACTCCAGACCACAGCAATGTGGTTGACTCTGAACTGCCCTCTGGGCAATTAGGGATGGACAATAAATGCTGCCTAGCCAGCAACGTCCTCTTCCCGTTAACAAATAAAGAAAAGATTCTGTAGTTTGGGGCTGTGTTTCCCAGAATTTAGGAAGCTTGCATGGCTTTGTGCAACATGTAAGTGCCTTTGCAGTGCAGAAATGCTTCATTTGGCCCTCCATAACCTTATCAAGCACCCCCAATATCAGGCAGTGAAATCAGTCAGTAAGTCTGAGATCTGGGCCCAGAACCCATCAATAGTCACACATAGTGTTGTTATTCCAAAACTCTGCCCAACCCCTGACAATGCAAGCCAACCCTGTTCATAATAGGCCAAAGAATCATAATACAGCTGGAGGCCATTTGGCCACTACACCTCTCCTGGCACTTTGGCTAGAGCTATACTCTTACCGTCCTGCTTCATCTCCAGCTTTCTTTTATCCACATTTTCTTGCTGTCTGGCGATATGCTTTCCACTACTTGCTACTATGCAGTGTCGTGTGTAAAGGGCAGTGGCCATGCATTGTGGCTTAAAACAGAATGTGGCTGGAGGTTTAAAGGCTGGTTTCCCAAAAGCAATCAATAAATTGCTGCCAGAAAAGCAGCAACTTCTAAAACAAATATTTATCGCTTGGGCCAGCAATCTTCTCCAGCTGACCCAAACATCCCTGTGACTCAATAACTCACCCTGAAACCAGTCTACTCTCGATCACCAGTAAAATGATGGAAGGTGTCATCAACAGTGCGATCAAGCAGCACTTGCTCAGTGATGCTCAGATTGGGTGCCGCCAGGACCACTCAGCACCGGACTTCATTACAGCATTGGTTCAAACATGGACAAAAGAGCAAAACTTCAGAGGTGAGGTTAGAGTGATAGCCTTTGACATCAAGGCCACATTTGACTGAGAGTGGAATCAAGGAGCCCTAGCAAAACCAGAGTCAATGGGTATCAGGGAGAAAATTCTGTGCTGGTTGGGGTCATACCTGGCACATAGGAATATGGTTGTGGTTATTGGAGGTCAGTCATCTCAGCTCCAGGACATCTCTGCAGGAGTTCCTCAGGGTAGTGTCCTAGGCTGAACTAACATCAGCTGCTTCATCAATGACCTTCCTTCCATCATAAGGTCAGAAGTGGACATGTTCCCGATGATGGCACAATGTTTGGCCCCATTCATGACTCCTTAGATACTGAAGCAGTCCATATTCAAATGCAACAAGATCTGGGCAGTATCCAGGCTTGGCTGACCAGTGGCACCATACTGGTGCCAGACAATGAATATCTCTGATATGAGACAATCTAACCACCAACCCCTTGGCATTCAATGGTGTTACCATCACTGAATCCCCCACTAATCAATATCTTTAACAAGAAATTCAACTGAATTTGCCATATAAACACAGTGGCTACAAGAGCAGATCAGAGGCTAGGAACTGTGGCGAGTAACTCACTTCTGAATTCCCAAAGCATGTCCACCACTGGCATAAGTCAGGAGTGTGATGGAATACTCCCCACTTGCCTGGATGAGTGCAGCCCCAACAACACTCAAGAAGTTTGTCACCATCCAGGACAAAGCAGCCCACTTGATTGGCACTACATCTACAAAATTCACTCCCTCCACCACCGACGCTCAGTAACAGCAGTGTGTACTACCTACAAGATGGACTGCAGAAATTCACCAAACATCCTGAGACAGAACTTTCCAAACCCACAACCACTTCCATCTAGAAGGACAAGGGCAACAGACATATGGGAACATCACCACCTGCAAGTTCCCTTCCAAGCTACTCACCATCCTGACTTGGAAGTATATCGCTCTTCTTTCACTGTCACTGGGTCAAAATCCTGGAATTCCCTCCCTAAGGGCATTGTGGGTCTGCCTGCAGCATGTGGATTCCAGTGGTTCAGGAAGGCAGCTCACTACCACCTTCTCAAGGGCAACTAGGGATAGGCAATAAATGACAGCCAGCTGGTGATTCCCATGTCCCATAAGTGAATTGAAACAAAAATATTAAAGCAGGTTTACTCAACGCAGTGATCATGTCCTCAAATGATAAACTGCAACAAGATGATTAAGTATTCATGAAGGTCTTGATAGGATAGGTTATTGCGAACTCTTACCACTGGCAGGGATGTTGGTACAACAACAGCTTGCTTTTATATTGCACCTTTCACACAGTCAAACATCCCAAGAAGTTTTGTAGGAGTGTTGACAAACCGAATTTAACACTAAGCCATGGAAGGAGATATCAGGGCAAGTGAGCATAAGGTTAGTAGAAGAGAGGGGTTTTAAGGTGCATCTTCATGGAGAAGTTGTTGTAAAGATGGGTAACTTTGGCATTGGCTTCTTGTTAGCTCAACTTTAACATGTTGCAGTTGTGAACACCATTCTATTGATTGATTATGACCAAGAATATTTCCATTGCAGTCTGTTCACCTGGGTTCTACGGACATCGTTGCAGTCAGGCGTGTCCTCATTGTGTGCACAGTAATGGGCCATGCCAACATGTCACAGGGCAGTGTGACTGCTTACCTGGTTTCACAGGAGCTCTCTGCAATGAAGGTAGCTTTCTCATTTTAAGCTATGCTTAAAGCTTTGGGGGTCTCTGCTTGTCTTGAGATAAAAAGAATGAGCTCTATTAGTAACATTACAACAGTTTACAGCCCAACATTATCTCTGCTGGCTGAAAAGGAGCTTTCCAGCCTAATCCCATTTTCTAACTCCGTATGTTAACATGCAGCTTAATAGTATTGATACCATAACGTCAGACAATGAGGCAGGTCAGAACTAGTAGGCACAGAGTAAACAGTCTTTTCTTCGTTAAATAAAGGCTTGACTTTTCACTGGCTAGAAATGCTCCATGTGTTAGCCCAAGATGGTGTGGGATTCCAGAATCTAAGGGTCCTGTCCCTGAACCCAGTACCCATCAGGAGAATGGGGGCATGGGGAACAGGTTAGAGAATTATTTCACACATCTGCATTTAACTAATACAGTGCTGTACAGGTGGCTTCAATAAGAAGCTATTTTCATTGCCGGGATTTCCTAAAATGTACTTTAGAAATTTAAGGAAAAGGTACAAATCCACTGGAGTTCTTTTGGAGAGGTCACATATCCTCATGGAAAAGTCTAGCTACCGCTTTAGGATTGTCAAGAGTGGACATGGTTTTCTGTCAAAAGCGCGTAAAGTCTGTGGAATTAACAAGTCATTTAAATCTCTTCCAGTTGAGAAAGATTGGTTTTTACAATTTTAGCAGATGGTTGGTGACATAAACTTTAAGGTTATCATATGATTACTGCTGCTTGACTGCTTCCACAATCGAGCAGCATAGATCCAAGAGATAGAGATTAATTGTCTTTGTTGTGGTGCTCTGAGTACAAATGTTTGCTTCTAAACACAATTAGGTACTAAAAAGGATTGAAATATATTGAATGAGCTTTTTCATAGAATCCCTACAATGTGGAAACAGGCCCTTTGGCCCATTGAGTCCACCCTGAACCTTCGAGGAGCATCCCATTCAGACCCAGCACCATTCCCTGTAGCCCTGTATTCCCCGTGGGTAATCTGCCTAGCCTGCACATTCCTGGATACTAAAGGCAATTTGGCATGGCCAATCAACCTAACCCGCACATCTTTGTACTCTGGGAGGAAACCAGAGCACCCGATGGAAACCCATGCAGACACGGGGAGAATGTGCAAACACCACACAGACAGTCGCTCGAAGGCAGAATTGAATGTGGGTCCCTGGAGCTGTGAGTCAGCAGTGCTAACCACTGAGTTGCTGTGCCATTTATTTTATCAATGAGTGTCTTTCTAATATAGTGAAGTCCCTAGTAGATATGAAGGATTTTATTTACCATGGCTCCTGATGTGATACTGGATGAATCAACAGGGAGGGTGTAAGGGAAAAGGGCGGTGGGGCTAGTTGGCAGTGGGGATGAAAAGGGCTGTAAGAATGAGGAGGGGGTGATGAGTTGCCGGCAATTTAGCACTGGGGCTATAAAAGGCTTTTGGTTGGTAAGTGGGATGTAGGTTTATATGTGGGGGCCATGTGTAGTCATGTGATGGCATGAGTCGGTATACATGGGGCATGGGGAGTGTGTGGGGTTTTGAGGGTTTAAGGGATGAGGATTACAGGACTGTTTTGTTTCACTGCTTTTATTGTAGTTGGGAAAAAAAGAGTCCCAGAGCAACAATGTGGACTTTTCGAACAGCCTGCCTTGCTGCTTGGCATCCCATGTGGCTGCCTCCACATCGTTTTTGAGTCAATTCACTCGTCTGCAGCAGCACCCCTAAAATTAAAATCCGGTCACTTGGGGAAGTTTCAGCTGATTTTGGGTTTGCTAGTTGGATATAAAATTTCCCAACGCTGTGCACCCAACTCAGGGGCAAAAATTTTGTTAAAGTCTATTTCGTTAGCAGTCTGCAGAATCTATTCAAACAGAATCCCTACAAGCTAAAGCAAACAGAACTCACTCTGCAAACTGCAGCAAAATGTACAGCTAAGGGTTCGATTTTTTCTCCTGAAAAATGCAGTCAGTAGAGGATAATTGAATTGAATTGAATTAGCTTTAATGTTACATATACTCAAATGCGTACAGTGAAAAGTTTACAAGTCGTCACATTACAGCACCATCTTAGGTACAAAGGTACCTAGGTGTAGATTCTTAAGCACAAAATCTTAGGAAAAAGAAAGAAGAACAAAGGAAACAAGTCCAGCATTACAGATCATAGGAATAAATCAGAAAAATAAATAAATAAAAAGTTCAGAATAACAGGATAGTTACACAATACAAATTTACGTGCATTAAGTCAATCCCAGATGCTCCTTGAAAGTGTTAGGGGCTGAGGGTATGGTGGAATTACTCGGTCATCTTCATTCCAGCTGGGACTTGTGCTGTTACTAAGGGCAACTTGAAAATATTGAACAAAATCAGTGCCTGCATCTTTGAATGTCAAGTAATTGTATATAACTTACTGACCCTGCTAAATTTAGGTAATCAGATTCAATGAAAGGCAGCTACTGCAACTCGGTTAGCCAGAAATCTATAAAGACAAAAGGATTGGGACAGGACTGTATCTTCTCTGATATGCAAATCTGGCTTTAACATCAGTGTTGACACATCTGAACATATTGGCATTAGTTTTCAAATGTTAAATAAGCAAGCTCAGTTTAATCAAAACCATGTTGCCTCTTACAAATTTGTGTTTAGCTTGTTTTTCTTTCACCTACAGCCCTGAGTCTAAAGTTTTACATTGCTGTTTTTCAGTGTGTCCCAGCGGTCATTTTGGGAAAAGCTGTGCTGGTTTCTGTACTTGTACAAACAATGGGACGTGTAATCCCATTGATGGGTCCTGCCAGTGCTACCCAGGATGGATTGGAAGCGACTGTTCTCAATGTAAATATCAACATTTATTTCTTAAACATTTTCTGTGTAGTTCTTAAAGAGTTATTGTTCAAATCGGATTAAAAGGAAGTGTCAGTTCTCCTGTGTTAAGATCCCCAAGAATCAACTTCAAAAGAACAGAAATATGAACTTACTGGTGAACGTGAAAAGATGGTATGATAGGATTTTCCATGGAAGACTTTTTTTTATCATAACAAGCAGTCCAGAAGCACAATTGACTAAAAACTACTTTTGTAGACAACTTAAACTTCAAAGTACGGGACTGAACTTTATTTTTTTATTAAAAAAAAGGCTTGACAAATATATTTTACACTGTCCCCGAAATAGTCATTCAATTTTCCCAAAGAAACCCAAAGTGATTCTTGGCTCATAAGGATTTACTTTCTTTCCTTTCCCAACCCTGGTAACTTTGAACCCCAAAATTGGCTTTCAAGATTTTCCTAGTAATAGCCCTTCGAGTGCAAGATTCTAGTTGAATCTTCCACCCTTATTTCAAATTATTATGTATTTGATCTTTTTGGTCCAACCAAACTCCCACCTACATTCCTGGATGGCGAACTGTAAAGACTTTCAACCTCGGTCTGTTTTCTCTCAGATCCTGGCAGACTGCCTGTACCTTGTGAGTTTTTGGAATATTCTCAAAACTCAGCCACTCTCAAACCCCACCTCCAGGGCGATGTGAATTCACACGGGTCTTGCACTCAAGCAGAAATTCTGATTGGCAACGTTTGAGATCTCTGAGACCGTCTCAGTTTTATCTTGGAAGCAAATACACAGTTTAAAGCACAAATGTTTACAACCCAGCATTCTCAACAATTTTTAGGGCTTTGGCGATTTGTAGTCAAACCACAGTAATTACAGACGCTGCTGCCATTGGCTCCAAGTGTGAACCTTACACCTTCCTCCTGGCAAAACAGCCCAAGTCTCCTTTTAATCTTAGTAGTCATATCATTCAGAGCTGTTGTCAGCATGATCAGAACAGACTACATGACTGCCTTCATTTTAGTCAAAATTAAAGACATAGGATCCTATAGGATCTGAGCAATGTGGGCTGTGGCAAGATGGGTGGCAGAATTGGCAACAAACATGGCAAGGCCCAGCTCAATGTCTGGAACAACTCATGCCACTTTTTATGCTTTACTCAAGCGATGTGACAAGATTCTTCTTCGGCAGCAGTGTGTTTCCAATCGATACGGCACCAGGTTATAGTCCAATAGGTTTATTTGAAATCACAAGTTTTCGGAGCGTTGCTCCTTTATCAGGTGAAGGAGCAGTGCTCTGAAAGCTTGTGATTTTAAATAAACCTGTAGGACTATAACCTGGTGTTGTGTAATTTCTGACTTTGTCCACCCCAGTCCAACGCCGGCACCTGCACGTCTTGCCAATTGATGGTGATTATTCTTGTTAAATGTCTTGTTGACAGCACAATATCTTATCAAACTCACAAAACAAGCTAGGCATCAAAAACCACTCAATAAGGAGACCAGAACAATCCTCTGGCAGGTTCCGTTCACCACTTGTTCTGAACAAACTGCACGGGGGAACCCAGGCACCAGCAACATGGGACAAAATCCATGGACACCAACCACATCCACGGACATTGGCATCCGATATGTGTCAACCTCTACATGCACCATCTCTGACCGAGTTGCTGGATGTTTCTGCATTTTGATGCTGAATGAGCAATTATTTTGCCATATTGCAACAAGGACATAATGTGCTCAGGGACATGAATCCGACCAATGGACTGGACAAGGCTGCATTCCAGGATTCTTCACAGTCTCTCTGTGTTCACTCATTTTGAGCCTATCTGGATGTTGACTGAATCCCCACCTTGCATTGCCTTATTGCACTTTGCCCCCTTAGCTGGAGACACCAGATTCACGTTATTGCCGTATTGCTGTGCCGTTTAATGCAGACGGAAATTCGAGGAAGAATGATTGTCCAGTCCTCAGTCTAGCTTTCACACAGGGGATCCCAGCACAATATGTCAAAGTCAGCCCCCAAAAGCAGTCCAGGGCCTGCTCAGGGCAGTCAGAGTCAGGGTCCTAACCTTATAAGAGGCGAGGAGACAAATGTCAGACAGGATGCCATCTGTCTGCACTCTTTCTGCCCCAATTTTGGCTGTATTCTTTGTGGAATAAGAAATGGGGGGGGAGGAGAGAGTGTGTATTACAGATGATAATTACAGAACTATTTGGCTACAAACAGTGTATAAGAGTTTGGGGGTAAAAGCAGGAGATTGGCACCAGGTAATGGTGCTCATTTAACAAGCCGGTACAGGTACGACGGGCTGAATGGCCTCCTCCTGTGCATTACAATTCAAGATGAAGGATGGTGGTGTAGGTCGGAGGTGGCTCAACTGACTGAGTGGGCAGTGTAGAGGGCAGGCAGGGTTAGTGGCATCAGGGGTTGGCATGTGTCAAGAGTGAGTGAGGACCATGTCACCACAATGTGGAGCTAGAGGAACACATCAGGTCAGGCAGCGTCAGAGGAGCAGGAAAGTCAACATTTTGGGTCAGGACCCTTCATAAGAACATGATGAAGGGTCCCGACTCGAAACATCGACTTTTCTGCACCTCTGATGCTGCCTGACCTGCTGTGTTCCTCCAGCTCTACATGGTGTTGACTCTGACTCCATCATTTGCAGTTCTTGCTATCTCTGAGTGAGGAAGATGTTGCACACAATGGTGAGAGTGGTAGAGAATGGGCTTTGGTGAGAGATGGGTGCAGTAGAGAGAGAGAGAGAGTGAGTGAGAGGCATTGGAAAGGTACTTACGTCGGTGAAGTGGGGAAGGACAACTTCTTACATTGATGGGCATTCCTCCAGAAGATAGAAACAGTTTTAACTGGATGGCAACCTCAGACCAAGCTGGAATGGTCTGGTGTCATAGCCTCCACCACTGGTCCTGTGGAAGAAGAAGTCCCGACCGTGTACCATCTCATACAGCGGGGTCTCCAGGCCCTTGCCCACAAAAAGGAGTGCAGCTTTCTCTCTGTGTACTATGTCCAGGGCAAATGTCAGGAACCACGCAGGACTTGGTACTTGTCCAGATGCACAATGGGCTTTTAAAGATGGCACAAGGCATGCCGATGAATTCTGGGATATCCAGTGAGTGGAGAGTTGGTCCAGGAGTGATGTGAAGCAAAACGGAGTTGAAATCAGACGTGAGAGACACTACAGGGGCAGATAGGTCGTTAATGAGGTGTGTTTGATAAGATAAGGTGAGAAAAGTCACTTGACCTCGTGGCGAGAAATCCTCCAAAAAACCTGTCGTAGCTCGGACTTAGTCAAGAAGCATAAGATTTAGCCCATAGTCTCACAGCATAACAATCTTATAAACCTCAAGTGTAACATCTGTATTGATTTATCACCTTCTATTGAAATAAAATCATTTGCTCTGTAAATCCTTTCTGTTTCAATTGTTACATCACTTGATTAAAACAAATGTATTATAAAACATTGATTAGGTCTCAATTGCAATATTGCAGTTAATTCTGAGCACGAGACTTTAGGAACGATTTCATGGCAATGGAGAGCATGCAGAGGACATTTACCAGGGATACCAGCTCAGTTCCGTGGAGAGGTTGGCGTTGTTCTTCCTGTGTAGGGAAGGGTGAAAGTAGATTTAACAGCCAGGTCCAATATTTCTGAGGTGTTTTGTGGACAAAGACAGACCATTTCCCCTGGCAGGAGGGCTAGTAACTAGAGGACCTAAGCACTGGAGGGGAGATAAGCGGAATCTCTTAATACAGGAACACGTTGGCTAAAAGAGCGAATCACTTTCAAAAGGGTCTTGGATAAGTACAGGAAGGAAAAATATTTGCAGGGTTGTGAAGAAAGAGCAAGGGGCAATGGGGTAATTGAATAGCTGTTTGAGGGAGTTGGCACAAGAATGATGGATTGAATGGCCTCATTCAGTATTGCATGACTGTGAATAGCGCATTTATTTTCTGGTGATATATTATGTTAATAAGATATTCAGGGAAACTTCTGAAGTATTTACCCAAATCCCCTTTGAAAGTTAGTCTTGAATCTACTTCCACCATCCTTTCAGGCAGTCCATTCTATTGTAATTAATCAAAGTGCTAGGAAAATGTTACATCTTTTAAATCTCTCAAGTATGTAAAGGGACTGAGTATAATGGACCAATGTTCTCTGCAATGTAAAAGAATGAGAGGTGACCTTATTGAGATGCGTAAAGGTCTTTGAGGCTTGACTGGCAAACACAGAGGTTGTTTCCCTTAGAGCCTAGAAGATGGGGGCACTGTCAAAGAATTACGGTTCAGGCTTTTTGGACTGAGATGAGGAAGATGTTCTTCACTCAAAGAGCTGTGAAACTTTTGAAAGTCTCTACCCCAGAGAGCTGTTGATGCTCAGTCATTGAGAGTATTCAAGACTGAGATTAATTGATATTTTTGGACGTTGAGGTAACTAAGAAATGTGGAGATTGAGCAGCAAAGTGTACGTTGAGGCAGAAGTTGAGCTATGATCTTCCTGAATGGTGGAGCGGGTTTCAGAGTCCCCTGACCAACCACCAACTCCTCCTATTTCCTGGGCTTTTCAAAGACGTTTCAGGGGAAATTGAGATGCAATTCGTGGTCAAGGCATAAGCTGATAATTTTATCTATTTGTTTTTTTAGCCTGTCCACCTGGATACTGGGGTCCAAACTGTATCCACACCTGCAACTGCCACAATGGAGCCCACTGTAGTGCCTATGATGGGGAATGCAAGTGTACACCAGGCTGGACTGGACTGTATTGCACACAGAGTAAGGACCCGTCTGATCTCTTCCAGCAGCAACATTGTATGATCACAAGTCTCTGTCTGACTGTCTGTCTCTGTCTATCTGTCTCTCTTTCTCTCTCTCTCTTTCTAACTGTCTCTGTCTGTCTCTGTCCCTGTCCATATCTATCTATCTATCTATCTATATCTCTCTCTCTTTCTGACTACCTGTCTCTGTCCATCTCTCACTCTTTTTCTGACTGTCTCTCCCTGTCACAGTCTGGCTCTCTTACTGACTCCCTCTCTCTGTCTATATCTATGTCTGTTTGCCTCTCTCTCTCTCTCTTTCTCTCTGTCTCTCTCTTTCTCGCCCACTTCTAACCTAAGCTTAATTCATGGCTTCTCCAATGTATTTTAAGTTGAGTGTGCACCATTAACAACAAGTTGAGTGCTGATTATTTTCGTTTTGGATTCTTTGTGGCATAGTGAGTCTGGGAGATCAAGAGCAATGCAACATTTGCAAATACTTTGAAAGCAGATTCTACTCCTCGGTGGCTAAATTTGAAGCCATTCTCTTTTCTTTTTGTGACTGCAGGATGCCCGTTAGGTTATTACGGGAGGGATTGTGGTGAACTGTGCCAGTGTCAGAACGGAGCTGACTGTGACCACATCTCAGGGCAGTGCACCTGTCGTATTGGATTCATGGGCAAACACTGCCAGCAAAGTGAGTGCAACATTGGCCAGATTGATGGCAAAGGTGGAATCCTGGGGACAACGAGTGGTATGGTAGGTTAGTGGTTAGCAGCGCTGTCTCGCAGCAGCAGGGACCCAGGTTCGATTCCACCCCCGGGCGACTGTCTGTGTGGAGTTTGCAATATTTCCCTGTGTCTGTGTGGGATTCCTCCAAGTGCTCTGGTTTCCACAGATGTGCAGATTAGGTGGATTAGCCATGCTAAATTGCTCATAGTGTCCAGGGATATGCAGGCTGGGTGGATTAGCTGTGGGGGAATGCAGGGTTGCAGGGATAAATTAGGAGGATGGATCTGGATGGGATACTGTTCAGAGGGTCGGTGCAGACTTGAGGGGCTGAATGGCCTCTTGCTGTATAATAGGGATTCTCTGACTCTAATGTTTCAGTGGAGAAAGGGCACAGGCAGGCTGGGCTAAATGGCTTCCTCCTGTGCTATATCATTCACAAATTCTGATCAGCAAGCAACTTCTATCAATCCAGAGAATAAGTGATTGTTAGAGCCTGGAATTGAGATCAGACTTTTGTTTCCCCATGCCTTTTTATTCTAAAACACTTAATTTGTTTTGGTTCTTCTTGTTCTACTTTATGACATTTGTCATAGAAATTTGAGGTGCTCCGCAATTGTTGTCGCAAGAGAAGTAGTGCTTTCAGAGCAGCAAGCATCTCACTCAGTGTCATCCTCAGCTCATAGGCACAAAGGAAATAGGAGCAGAAGGAGGCCATTCAGCCCCTCAAACCTGCTCCACCATGCAACTCGATCTTGGCTGCTCATCTATGTCTGTGCAATTTTCCTGCACTGTCCCCATAAACCTTGATATCCTTGCTGTCTAAGTATCTATTAGACTATTTAATATAACTTATGACTGAGCCTCCACATCCCGCTAAGGTAGGGAGTAGCAAAGAATCAGCACCCTTGTACTGAAGAAATCCTTCCTCCACTCAGTGCTTGTTCTGAGGTTGTACGGTCTGGTTCTAGATCCCACCATTTCCCACAGCCAGGGGAAGCACCCTTTCTGCCTCAGTTGTTTTATAGTTATAGAATCATAGACACCCTACAGTGTGAAGGCAGGCCATTTGGCTCATTGAGTCTGCACCAACCCTCTGAAGTGCATCCCACCAAGGCCCACTTCTGTCCCTGTAATCCGGCATTTCCCATGGCTGATCCACCTAGCCTGCACATCCCTGGACACCACGGGACAATTTAGCATGGCCAATCCACCTAACCTGCACATCTTTGGACTATAGGAGGAAAGCAGAGCACCCGGAGGAAAGCCACAAAGACACAAGAATGTGCAAACTGCACACAGACAGCCACCCGAGGGTAGAATCAAACCTGGGTGCCTGGCGCTGTGAGGCAGCAGTGCTAACCATCAAGCTACCATGCTGCCAGTGCCAACTGTTGGTTGTTAAGCTGTAGATGTGCCAGCTTGCTCGGGTGTCAAAAGATCTCACAGAAACTATTTGGCAAAAGTATAGATGGGCACTCCCTAGTCTCCTGTCAATATTTATTCCTCGCTTGGAAAAATAGATGATCTTTTCATTGATATTTGCATTGCTGTTTGTAGGAGTTTGCTATGTGCAAATTTGCGGCTGTATTATAGCAATAAGTAGACTTAAAAATTAGTTCATCGGCTGTAAAGCAGTTTATGTCATTCCGAAGCTGCAAAAGCTGCTGTAGAAATGCAAATCCTTCTTCTAGTATCCTTAGAGATGGGGTACATAATTTTTTTTAAAAATGCTCTGGAAAAATATGTACATAACATGGAACTGACTTGTTTTAAGCAATCAAAAATTGAAACATTTCTGAGTAACCAAGTTTGAATCTTCCATACCACAACATCTAAATATAGCAAGCTCATTGAGCTAAACATCAATAACAGTCTTGCTTTCTGTGAACTAAACTCAACTCCAAACAAATTGAGCATTAACCTGTTTCCTCAGTGACTGCTGGTAGTTCCTAAGTGTGAAGTGATAGCCAAACTTTTCCCCAACGGTGTGTTTTTAAAAATGTGAATTCAAAATCAAAATATAAGGCAATCCTTAAGCAAAAAATCTTTTTTTGTCTGAAGTCATTGACAGTAAACTACAAAAGTAGTTATTTTTTGCCAAATGTGAATGCAGCTGGGAGGTTATTTAAGGCAAAATGTAATCTCTCATTGCTTCCCCCTTCAGGGAAAGCTCATGTTTGCCCTTCCAATCTAAAGATTTCACAGCCTGGAAAAGTAATTTGATCAAGGTCCTTTCCAGGCAGCTTATTGTCCTTACTGTCTGAACAGGAAAATCTCAGTGTGGTCTGTAACAACCACAGTTATAAGTCCACATCCATGTACTGATGTTACAGCCATCAATGAAGAATTAGCTGTTGCACTAGCTTTGTCTACTTGACCTGCCTTTATGAGAGTATTTTGACTTTATTCGTTCAAAGGAGGTGGACTCTGCTGGCTGGGTCAGCATTTATTGCCCATCCCTAATTGCCCTGGAGGAGGTGGTGGTGAGCTACCTTCTTGAACCGCTGCAATTTTTGGGATTACCATTGACCACAAACCATCAAGAGTGCTGTTAGGAAGAGAGTTACAGGATCTTGATCCGGCAACACTGAAGGAATGGTTACATCGCTCCAAATTGTGATGGTGAGTGATTTGGAAGGAAACTTACAGGAGGTGGTCGTAGACGTCTACAGCACAGAAAAAAATCTCTTCACCCATCAAGTCAGCCCTTGTCAAAAACAACCACCTACTTTTCTAATCCAGCAATTGACCCATAGCCTTGTATATTTTGCCATTGCAGGTGCACATCTAAAAACTTCTTTGATGTGATGAGGGTTTCTGCTTCTACCAATCTTACAGGCAGTGCCACCCTCTGAGTGGGGTGGTGTTCCCATGCTTCTGTTGTTCTTGTCCTTCTAGGTGGTAGAGATCACAAGGTTTGGAAAGTGTTCATGAGTGGACAAAGGTAACTTGTTGCAATGCATTTTGTCGATGCTACCCACTGCTGTCACTGTGCATCCCTGGTAAAGGGGATGAGTGTTGAAGGTAGTGGATGGGGTGCCAAGAGTGGGCAGCTTTGTCTGGATGGTGTGGAGCTTCTTGAGAGTAGTTTGACCTGCCCTCATCCAGACAAATGGAGACTACTCCAGCACAGTTTTGACTTGTATCTTTTTGATGTTTGGCAGAATTTGGAAAGAGAACAGGTGAGTTATTCAGCACAGACCCTTGGCATCTGACCTGCTCTTGTAGCTACAGTATTTATCTAGCTGACCGAGTTCAGTTTGTAGTCAACGGTAACCCCCAGGATGTTGACAGCTGAGGATTGAGCAATGGCAATGCCTCTAAAAGGGGCTATGGATGAATTCTCTCTTGTTGGAGGTGGTCGTTGCCTGCACTTGTGTGGCACAAATGGTACTTGCCAAGTACCAGCCCAAATTTGGATATTATCCAGGTTTTGCTCCGTATGAATGTGGATTGCCTCAGTGTTTTGAGGAGTGTTGGAAATTAAAGTCCCCTTTAAAATGGAATTATTTTGAAACAGATACAGAAACTCAGCAAGTCTGGCAGCATCTGTGGAGAGAAAGCAGCGTCAACATTTTGGGTCCAGCGACCCTTCTTCGGAACTGGACCTGCTGAGTTTCTCCAGAAATCTGTTTTATTTTAGGTCTCCAGCATCCACAGCTGTTTGGTTTTTTTGTAAACAAAATATTTAATGGGTGCCACACTACACTACCATCAATGCAGTGTTCAAGAATATAGGACATTTTGGTCTTAGTAGGAATGGAAACTAAAATTCACATGGAGGTGGGCAAGGGAACAACAGTCATCTTGACATCATGAGGAGTTGTCCAATGATCATTGGCCTTTACAAAATTAATATGACCAACACCTTCTGCACCAACAGCCTGTTTGTCCTCTGGTCTTAGTGAACCATCCTTAATTGTCAAGGTTGAATACTTCATGTGTCTAATCAACTTCTTACAAACTTAATAAACTATCTGAAAATTCCTTCTAAGTGGTCGACTGCCCATATTTAGGTACCTCTGATCATGAATCCCCTAAATCCAACAGAAATTGTGAATGGTGCTGAACATTGAGCAATCAGTGAATTATGCCAACAGTGAACATCCTCACTTCTGACCTTAGGATGGAGTGAAGGTCATTGCTGAAGCACCTTAACATATTTTGGCCCTCCTGCCCAGGTGTCCAACACCACAATTATCTTCCTTTGTGCTGGGTATGAAGAGTTTTCCATTGATTCCCATTGACTTCAGTTTTGCTAGGGCTTCAAATGCGCTTTGCTGCCAAGAGTAATCACTCTCGCCTTTGGAGTTCAGCTCCTTTGTCCGTATTTGAACCGAGGATGTAATGATGTCAGGAGCTGAGTGACTCTGACAGAACCAAAACTGTGTGTCACTGAGCAGTTTATTGCAAAGCAAGTGCCGCTTGATAGCATTTTGATGACACCTTCTATCACTTTAATGATTGAGAGTAGGCAAATGCAGCAGTAATTAGAAAAGTTGGAGTTGATCTGCGTTTTGTGGTCAGGCCAAACCTGGGCATTTTTCCATATTATGGGTTTGATGCCAGTATTGTAGCCACACTGGAGCATGGACAGGGACACAGCTCATTGTGGAGCACAGGTCTTCAGTACTATTCTCAGAACGTTGTCTGGGTCCACGGCCTTTGCACTATTTAATGCCTTCGGTTGTTTCTTGATATCATTTGGAGTACATTGAATTGGCTGAAGACTGGCATCTGGAATACTGGGGATCTCAGGAGGAGGTTGAGATGGAGCATCCACTCAGCATTTCTGGCTGAAGGTGGATATCAGTGCCGCATCTTGTCATTTGCATGGGTATGCTGGGCTCCTCGTTATTGAGGCTGGGGCTATTTGTAGAGCCTCCTCTTCCCATTAGTTGTTTAATTGTTCACCACCATTCATGACTCGATGTGAAAGGACTGCAGGGCTTAGGTCTGACCTGTAGGTTGTGGGATCACTTCGTTCTGTTTACCGCATGCACCTTTTGTGCAAGTAGTCCTCTTTTGTAGTTTAACAAGGTGGACATCTCATTTTCAGATATACCTGGTGCTGCTCTTGGCTTGCCCTCCTGCATTCTTCATTGACTGTCACCCTATCTTTCTATAAAGCTGCAAGTACTGTGCTTAGCATAGAGTATCATTGAAATTCCAGTCTTCGTTAAGTATAGACTGATTAATCATGATACCAAAGCGAGTAACAGAACTAAGAGGGAGATGTTGGTGTAGCAAGTAATGTCATTGCACCAATAATCCAGGGGCTGTGGAGATACACGTTCAAATCCTGCCAAGGCTCTGGTGGTATTTAAATTTAATTAATAAATTGGAAATTGGAAATCTGGTTTCAGTAATCATAACCTTGAAACTGTCGTTAATTGTAAAAATCGGGCTGTTTCCACACACAGCAATATCTTGACCGTGTCTGTTCTGGAGCTTAGGTCTTTCCTTGGGCTGGTGAATTATTTCAGAAAGTTTGTACATAAATTAGCCTCCATCCTGGCACCTTTGCATCAACTCTGAAAAAAAGGGTCACCATTAGAAATGGTTGCGTAGCCATGCCATAGCTTTCAGGGAAGTGAAGAAACAGCTAACATCGTCTAAGGTATTGGCACACAAGATCTGGAATAGACATGTGATGCCTTCCTGCATGGCTCCAGGCTAGTATTAGTTCATAGGTAGCCCAATGGAGCGAATGCTCAATAGTGTATGTATCCAGGACTTTGGCTAATGCAGAGTATAAATGTTCCCAGATAGAGAAGAAAGGCTTGATGGTCATGTTTGGAGTCAGGAAGTTCCACTAGTACCTTTATGGACATAAATTTGTAATGAAAATGGACCATAAACCCCTGCTGTGTATATTTAAAGAGGAAAAGGCAGTGCCACCCATAGCTTCAGGCCAAATTCCAACAGTGGACACTAATCTAAGTACGTACAATCACAAGTTGGAACACTGTCTGGGAGGTCAAGTAGCAAATGCTCATGCATAAGCCTCCTCCCACTAGCAGATACACCACTGGTGGGGTCGCCACTGGATGAATCCGCAACGGAAATAAAATGTCTGGACACACTTTCAGTCACAGCTGACCTTTGGACGCAGAAAGATCCGGTCCTGGCAAAACTGAAACAGCTGGTGGTGATGGGGGAAACCAAAGGGCCGCCACAACCAGAGTTGAAACCTTTTTGGACCCGGAGAGACCAGATCACAGTGGAGGATGGCATATTCTTAATGGGAGCAAGAGTGATTGTCCCGAGCAATGGTCGCCACCAGATATTGAACTCCACCAAGGTCATTCAGGGGTTTCAAAAATCAAGATGTTAGCGAGAAGTTATGTCTGGTGGCCAGGAATAGCTGCAGACGTAGCCGCATTGGTGGGCAGTTTTCAGAGTGCCAACAAGGACAGAAATTACTGCCAGCAGCTCCCCCACATTCGGGTAAACCCCAGACTCAGTTACATGTCGTCTATGTAGGTCTGTTCATGGGCTCAGTGTTCATTGTAGATGCCCACTCAAAGTGGCTGGATGTGCAGAGTTCATTTGTCAAATACGGGGACGACAATAGAAAAACTGCCTGCATTATTTGCAAAACATAGACTCCTAGAAGTTTTAGTCACGGATAACAGGCCATCGTTTGCCAGCAGGGAACTTGAGTATTTCCTAAAGTCAAATGGTATCCATCATATAAAGACAGCTCCATACCGTCCACCGTGCAATGGTCTGGCAGAAAGAGGAGCACACACCCTGAAGGCAGGCTTAAATAAATAGCCTACACATTCACCAGATACTGAACTGTCCCCATTCCTATTTGATTATAGGACCACCCCTCATACAACTACAGGGCTAGCTTCAGCAGTGTTGTTAAAGGGGAGAAGGGTCCGCACCAGGTTAAATCTCGTCTTCCCTGGCCTGGCGGGGGAGGGTGAAATGGCATCAGGAGTGCCAGTGCCAGACACAAGACTCTAGTAAGCGAGAGAGATGGTTTACTTCAGGGGACGGAGTTTAGTGTAGGAACCACAGGAATGGCCCTGCATGGGTAAGAGACATGGTGGACACGAGGTCAAGTCCAGTGATGGATAAAGTTTGGGTAGGTGAGGCAGTCCTGAACAAGCATGTGGAACATATGAAAGCTGAAAACTCACAAACAGTGCGAGAGTAAAACATGCCCAGCTCCTCAACAGCTTTCCAACTGTTCCAGAACCCATGGGTTCTCCCTCTCCGTCAAGTGTTGCAGATACCTTGGAATCTGAGATGGACATGGCAGATGTCACCACCTTGATTCCTTTGCCACCTGAAGAAGAGAATGAATTTCTTCCGAGACGCCCTGGGCGCAAGAGACGAGCTAATGTGTATCCAAGGCAGAGTTGGAGGAACCTGACCTGGTGCTGTGTCCTTGGCCTATGTCCTCGGACTCAGAGGGAGAGGAATGTAGTGATTGTAATGAAGTTAGTCTAGTGGACCTCATCGAATATGAGTTCCCTGATTGGGGTTGTTAATCTAGTCCAATCAGGGAGCCCTATCTGACAGATAAGAACAGGAGTGTCAGAGGTTCTGCTCACTGGGAGAGCTGGCTCTGAGGGAACTGGATCAGTGTTGAGGACTCTCCACGTGTAAATAAAGGATGACTTGGTGACGAGATACTGACCTCTGTGGAGTTATTTCAGTTCCAATATAGTGGAACGATGCAGGAGACCAAGGGCAGAATGGAAGATGAGCGGAGAATTAAAATTACTGCTAGCTCAGGGTATTGATTGCAGGACGATTGTTTTATCTGAGTTTAGACTCTGCAGTGTAGACATCAAGACGTCAGCACTGAATCCCCACCTGTTAATGATTTCTCTGTCTACTTTTCACTACATTTGTAACCTCACCATGAAATCTAGAAATGTGAGAAACCCACGTAGTTCTGTCCCCTTCAGCTGATGCCCTGTCTGAACAGAAGGGTTGAACACTGAAGGCAGTGGAGCATTCAGTCCCAGCTGCCGTGGTATTTCTGCTCCACCTAGTGGTCACAGGGTAAGCTGCAGGTTTTCGCAGACCATTAATTTGAATTGCAATCACGGAATTGTTAATCAGATCTGTGCTCTCTGATTGACGTATCCAATGGTCCCACTCCACAGCTTTATTCCCCATTGACCTGCAAATATTTCCTCTCAGTGGCATAAATATTTGCCGAAGTGTTAATGTGGTGATAGCAAACATTATTCACAGTTCCAAGTGCAGGTTTGGATGAGGTCAACTTGTTTTCACTGAAGTGCCTTTACTGTAGTAAGATATCTCAGGTGTTTCGTAGGTAGGATTAACAGACAAAATTTGACTCCCAAGCCACATAGGGAGAAGATGCATCTTAAAGGAGGAAAGCGAGGGAGTTTAAACTCCAGGCAATTGAAGACCTGGCTGCCCATGTTACAAGAAAGTCATGGAGATTACTAAATAAATCTCTCATCTGTTGCAGGCATGGGTATTACTGGCTACTAATCTGTATATTTGTTATATCCAACCAAATGTGTACCTAGGTGCAACAGAGATGAAAATTAGCCTTATTACTCGAACTGTGCATTTTTAAAATGAGGTTCAGCAATGCACAAGACCTTGTTACATGAATAACCTCAAAATTGCCATAGTTCATTATTAATAAGATGTGTTACAGCAAAATTTTTACTTTCCAACTTGATTTCCAATTTTGAAGCTAGCCACGCAGTCATTTTATTCATGTAGCATCTGCCAGACTGTGACTCTGGTTGGCACTTACACCTCTGGGTCAGAAGATTGTGGTTTAAATTCTGAGAAAGAGCTTGAACTAAAATTCGAGGCTGATGCTAGCCATGCAGTACTGATGCAGTACACATCACTGTCAGGGGTGTTATCTTCAGGATGAGATGGCCTTTCCAATACACACAAACAATTCCACTGCATTATGTTGAAGAAGAGCAGAGGAACTCCCCCTTTTGGGATGGCCAATATTTATCCCTGAACCATTTCCTTATTGCCAAAACTGATTATCACATTGCTGTTTGTGGGAGCTTCCCCTGTACAAATTGGGTCACAGCATTTCTCTACATCACAGCAATGACTTCCCCAACATTTGCCTGAGACCAGCCTGCACAGTGAATACTGCTGGGCTTCCAGTACTGTGGGTAAAATGCCAGTGGTAGCAGCATGGGTCCATTAAGTAGTCATTAACTAGCCACGTCAAAGTTTCACTAGGCCAAGGGCAGATGTTGCCCCTGTTGCCCACAAAATATCAGATGGCTTGGGGTGTGGGTGGCAGCACTGGATTTTGTGTGCAGTCACCCCCTTCCCCCCAATTCCCAGCCTTCAAACCAGCCAGTGGGAAGCATAAAATGCAGCTCCATGTAGTAGACTAACAAGAGATATTTTAATTTGCTGAATAATAGTGAGTGGTTCAGTGTGGCCAATTATAAATACAGGAGACTGCAGCCAGGAATATTTACCATGTCTTGTCTGACCAGCCTGATATTGATGTCTCACAGGATGTTTACCAGGCACCTATGGTTATGGCTGTCGACAGGTGTGTGACTGTCTGAACAACTCCACATGTGACCATATTAAAGGCACTTGTTATTGCAGCCCAGGATGGAAGGGTTCAAAGTGTGATCAAGGTATGTTATTCACTGCCAGTCCAGCAGCCACACTTTATATCTGTTGGCAATCTTGTTCACCGCCTTAAACCTTGACAATCAGTGAATCTCTTCAGTTTAAGAAAATGTTAAGTTCAGCATTGATCTCCCACTTTCTGCATGTGTATTAATAAATAAGTTTCAGTGTAATCCAAAGTACTTGGACAGGCTACGTTTTAGAATGGAAGTTCCACATGGAAGTCACCAGTCATTCAATCCATCAAGTTAGCCTTTAATTTCCCATATGAACAAGTAGTTCCAATCACATTTACTTATCTTGCTCCCATACCCCTTCATCTCTAATGCAATCTTATCCTGAATATTAACTGGTTTCTGTCTCAAGCACATGCTAATCCTGGAAGAGAATTCTTCACACAACTCTCTGGATCAAAATGTTCCTCCATTCCTTTGTTCCATGTCTCTTACAATTAATCTTGTATCAACAGCCCCCTCATTCTTGACCTCACATCCTGGAAATTGTCTGCTTCTACCTTTTGATGACAGCAGATATTTTAATCAGATTTTACCATAATTTCCCAATGAGACAAACCACCGATTTTTCAAATATTTCTTCTTCATATCTGTGTTTCCTCACATGGGTATCATCCAAGTGAATCTTTGTTGGTGTCTTTCTAAGAAGTCTCAATAGTGTGGATCTTAACATTGCACAGAGCTCAAACTGAGGTATCACTGTTTTATAAAGGCTTAGCATTTTTGCTAGCCTTCAGTAATCGTGGTGAACTCAATGTATGTATAGATTGAGTAAATCTACTGAGCACCAATGTTGTGGAGAAAGAATTCTTGGAAGAGTTTCAGATGGTTTCCAGGAGTAAGATGTTAAGGAATCAACCAAGATGTAGTCTATTTTAGATAAGATCATAAGACATAGGAGCATTTTGACTCTTTGAGCCATTAAGTCTCCTCCACCATTCATTGACACATAGTTAATCTTATAATCCTCAACTCCACTTTCCTGCCTTTTCCCCATAACTCTTGCTTTCCACACCGAAAAATCTATCTATCTCAGCCTTGAAGACACTTAAAGGCTCAAACTTACCACCCCTCTGTGATAAAGAATTCCCCAGATTCACCACCCTCAGAGGACAGAGGAAATTCCTCCTCATCTCTGTCTCAAATGGACGATTCGATCCTCTGAGATTATGCCCTCCAATTCTAGATTCTCCCATTGGGGGAAACAAATTCTACGCATCCACCATCTCAAGCTCCCAGTATTTTATATGTTTCAGTAGGCCTCTTCTCATTCTCCTAAACTCCAGTGAGCGCAAGCCCAACCTACTCAACCTACTCAAAAGAGAGTGGACTGCATCCACTGCCAGTGTGTATTTATTCCTTTTTGGAATTCCCTTCCTCTATAAGCAGTGAATGCAGAATTTTTAAATCGTTTTAAGGTGGAGGTAGATAGTTTCTTGATTACCAAAGGGATGAAAGGTTACCAGGTGTGTGCGGGATTGCAGAATCGAGGTTAAAATCAGATCACCCATGATCTTATTGAATGGTGGGACAGAATCAAAGGGCTAGGTGGCCGACTCTCGTTCCTTGTTTGTATGTTCGTATGTAGATAAAGGGACCAGAACTGTTTGCTGTAGTCCAGCTGAGATCTGACCAGTGCCTTGTGTAGTTTTAACAAGACCTCCCCCTTTTAATGCTCCACTCCTTTTGACATAAAGGCCAACATTATATTAGCCTTCCTAACTACTTCCGGTATTTGGCTGCTGACTTTTTGTGAGTCATGCACTAGGACCCCGAACCCCCTCTGTGCTGCAGCTTTCTGCATTTACATAATAGTCAGCTCCCCTTCTTCCTGCCAACGTACACAACTTCACATTTTCCCATATTTTATTCCACCTATCAAGTTTTTCCCACTCAATTAAAGTGTCTGTGTCCCCTTGTAGAGTCTTTGTGTCATCTTTGCTACTTGCCTTCCCATCTATTTTTGTGTGATCTGCAAACTTGGCTACAGTACATTCAGTTCTGCCACCCAGGTCATTGTATACAGTAAATAATTGTGGCTCCAGGAGTGATCACCATGGCACTCCACAAGTTACAGGTTATCCCAACTCCCTGTTTTCTAATGGTTAGTCAGTCCTCCATCCATGCTAATACACCAACCCAATGCTGTAGGCTCTTATTTTATTAAGTATCTTTTGTGCAGGACCTTTTCGCATTCCTTTTTGAAATCCAAATATATTATGTCTACTGCTTCCCCCTTATCTATCCTGCTTGCAACCTTCTTAAAGAACTCTAATAAACTTCTCAGGCCTGATTTCTCTTTCATGAGGCCATGCTGACTCTACAGGATTACACAGTAGATTTTCAAATGTTCTACTGTCACATCCTTAATAATAGTCTCTAATATTATGCTAATAATGTTAAGCCATGTTACCTGTTTTTGTCTCTCTCTCCTTTTCAAAAAAGATGTTAAATTAGTAGTTTACCAATCCCCTGGAGCTTTTCCACAATCTAAGGATTCTTGGAAAATTACTGCCAGCACTCTGGTATAATACAATGAAAAAGGGCTAATTAATAATCTTGTTCTGAAAGAAACTTGGCAAACAATGACCATAAGATACAAAATATTCCATTAAGTTTGAAAATCTGAAACTTAAATCTAAACAAGGGCATTTATGAAGGTAGGTGGAGTAAGTTACCTGTGGTGAATTGGAGAAAATACATAACAAGGTCTGATAGTAGATAGACAATGGCTATTGATTAAAGAATTTATTTTTAAGGGAGTTAAAGATAGTGGAAAATCAAAGGAAGAAGGTGATAAAATCACAAAAAGCAGGTTGTTATGTCTGAGGATTTGGATAATGTTAGTATTCAGCAAAGAAGGATGAAGAAATGAATAAAGAAATGCATACAAATATAAGATAGGAAGTAATGTACAAATTAATTGTAAAGCTTCTATAGCTATGTGAACAGGAAAAGCTCAGCAAAGACAAATGTGGGTCCATTACAAGTAGCAATAGGAGAATTTACAATGGGAAATAGAGAAATGGTGGAGAAGCTAAATAATTACTTTGTGTCTATCTTCAAGGAGGAAATTACAGGAAGAGGCCTTGAAACAATTGAGATCCAAGGGTCTAGTGAGAGTGAGAACCTGACAGAAATCAATCCTAGTAAAGAAGTGGCATTGGAGAAATTAATGGGATTGAAAGATGACAAATCCTCAATGACTTTCATCCCAGAGCGTTGAATGAGATGACTACAGAGTTAATGGATGCTTTGTTCATTATTTTTCAAAATTCTATTTATTCTTGAATTAGCACCTGCAGATTGAAAAGTTGTAAATATAACCCCACTTTTAAGAAAGGAGGGAGAGAGAAAACAAGAAACTACATACCTGCGTGACACCCATAGTAAGGGAAATACTAAAATACATTGCAAAGGATGTGATTACTGGATATTTAGAAAATAATTTCTTGATTGGGCAGAGACGATGTGAATTGACAAAAGGAAAGTCATTATTAACCAACCTGATTTTTATTTGAGGATTTTATTTGTGGAATCGTTAATTGCATCTGATGGAGGTAGTGAGTTTGCATTTTCAAAAGGCTTTTGATGAGGTCTGACATGAGAGGTGTGAAAAAAAATGAAAGTGCATGGGACTAGGCGGTAATGTACGAGAATGGATTGAGGATTGATTAATGAACAGAAAAGAAGAGAGTAGGAATAATTAGATGATTCTCAATTTGGAAGGCTGTGACCAGTGGGGTATCATAAAGATCACTGTTTGGACTCTCGCTGTACAGAATCTATCTCAGATTAGCAAAAGATTAGCAAAGACAACTGGGTGTCGATTGCAGGAGTATTGACAATGGGATATGGGGAAATGACAGAGAAGCTAAATTATTCATTTGTATCCATCTTCATGAAGGAAATTACAAGAAGCTTCCTAAAATAATTAAGATTTAAGGGTCTAGTGAGAGTGAGGAACATACAGATAATTAGAAATTTGGATGCAAGTGTGGAGTTCTTGAGGAGCTGTATCTCTAGCACATAGAGGGTGAAAATCATTGGAGTTGAAGATCTCAGGTTCTGTGGAATCTCTATTCAGTCTCAGCTGCTGTAATTGGGTTGACTCTAAAGCATGGGGATTTTAAATCTGCTGGTTTCAACTTATGCATTACCACTTACAGAAGGTTCCCAGTTTGACCAACATCCCCCTCAGCCTGCAGTTATCACAAATAGTATCATCTGGCCAAAGGAATTCTGAAAACTCTATCCAATCCTTACAGGGAACTCAACCCCAGAGCGGTGGGGTCTTTCCTGTGTTATAAATGCTGCGCCATCTTAAATTCAATTTCCTTTTTGCATTTTCCAGCCGGAGTTATAATTGTGGGAAATCTAAATAGCCTTAGCAGGACCAGCACTGCCATTCCTGCTGATTCACATCATATTGGGGCGACAGTGGGGATTGTCATCCTGCTCCTGATTGTCCTCTTCCTCCTGGTGCTCTTCGTAATGTATCGTCGAAAACAACAGGGGAAGGAGGCTAACATGACAGCCGTCACCTACTCTCCCGCTCTCAGAGTCATGAATGCGGATTATGCGATTTCAGGTGAGTACCTTCCTGCACCAAGCTGCCAAATACCGGTCAACAGTTTGTGTTCATTATGGCGTGCAAAAATTATGGCGTGTTATTATGTAGGCAACGGTAATTGATCATTAAGCTTCTCTAGTCTAATCCACTGGCCATTCAATAAGACTAAGACTGCTATTGTAATCTCCCTGCCTTAGTTCCCTATCCCTTCATACCCAACGATAGTATATTAATGAAAGCAAAGTACTGCAGATGCTAGAAACAAACACATAGAATGCTAGAGATAGCAGGTCTGGCAGCATCTGTGGAGAGAGAAACAGAGTTGACATTTCGAATCCAGTATGACTCTTGTTCAACTCAGTTCTATCGAGACCACTCATGATTTTGAAAACTTCTATCCTATCTCCTCTTACCCTTTCTACATGCATACACGTATACACCCAGGTTGCTCTGTTCCTCAATCCCATTAATTATTGTTCCCCTTGTTTTATATTGTCTATACATGATCCTCCTACAAAATATCACCTCACACTTCTCTGCACTGAACTTCAACTGCTACCTCTCTGCCCACTCCTGTCTATACTCATTTGGAGTTTTGCACTGTCTTCATCACAGTTTGCAATGCTACCATGTGCAGTATCATGTGCAGACTTTGAAATTGTCTCCTGCACACCAAGATCTAGATCATTAATATATCAACAAAAGACTGGTCCTAATACTGACCCCTGGGGTACTCCACTACAAACCTCCCACCAGTCTGAAAAGTATCCATTGATCTATCTGTTCCCTATCGCTCAGTCGATGATGTATCCACAGTACAACTACCCCGATTATTCTGATGAAGTCTAATATATGGCATTGTACCAAATGCTTTTTGAAAGTCCATGTACAACATATCAAAGATATCCACATTGACCCTTGCTGTTAACTCTTCTCAAACACAACTTCCCCTTTATGAATCCATGATGGCTGTTCTTATATAATCTATCCTTTTGAATTAAATTGATTTTACTGATTGCATTTAACTTCCACCAGCTGTCGCAGTAGGATTTGAACCCACGTTCCCCAGAGCATAAGGTTGGCCCTCTGGATTCCAAGTCCAGTGACAATAACAATGCACCATGATTTCTCGCTGGAGCAAAGGAACAGAGGAGGCCATTCAGCCCATCAAACCTGCTCTACCATTCATTGAAAGCATGGCTGATATGTGACCTTATAATGTATACTTGCTTTTGCCCCAACCTGTTGTTTTCTTTGAGTAACAAGCAACAGAAATAACAAGCTCAGATTTAAAATGAATACTTCATCTAACATCAATTGTAAGGAGAGTTCTAAATTTCTGCCACCCAGTGTGTGTGCGTGTTTTTTAATTTCGCTGCTGAAAGGACTGGCTGTAATTATTAAACTGTGATCCTGGATTCTGAAAGCAGTGAAGGTACTTAATAAAAACAAAAACAAAAAGGACTGGAAATTCTGAGCATCTATGGAGTGAGAGGAAAACAGAGTTAAATTTCAGATCTGTTTTATACTTTTGGATGACTCAGAGAGCAGGTTGTGAGCAGAATTTTCTGAGTCTTGTTGACTGTTTTTTTCTGTAGAAAATATGCAACAAGGTAATGCTGGGAATGCAAACAGCCATTATTTCTCCAACCCAAGCTACCATACCTTAGCACAATGTGGCAGCCCACCTCACACCAACAACTATCAACGGAACGGCTCTGGAAAGGTAAGATATATTGACCATGAACTAATTTATAATAATTGCAGTTTCAGTCACTGGGTCACAGTTGCTAGCATTCATCGCTCGCCGACAGCAATTCACCTCAGAAATTAAAGCAATTTAGGTTTTGCAGCCTCAAAGGAACTTTAATAATAGAACAACAGAATGCATGCTACACCAAATTACTTAGAATTTATATGGGAAGAGTCCAGGAATTAATTGTTAGTTTGACCAAAGAACCAGCAGAAGCATGATGGACTAAATGGCCTCCATCTGTCTTTAGCATTCCATGAATTACAGCACAAACAGGCCAGACATCCCAACTGGTCTATATTAGTGTTAGTGCACCACATGAACCTCCTCCCACCCCACTCTACCAGCATAACTTCCTACTCCTTATTCCCTGATGTGTTCATCCGCCTTTCCTTAAATATATCTGTGGACATTAAGTTCAGCACCTCAATGTTGTAGTGATTTCCATGTTCTCGTCACTTTCTGGGTAAAGACATTTCTCCTGAATTCCGTTATATTTATGGTCCCCGCTATTGATCTTACCATGGGCGAATGCTCCTGTTATCATAAAGTAAGTGTGGGTTCCCTAATTTGCTGTGAGCAAGGTCAGAGCAGATAAGTGGCAGAAATGTGGAAACGTTTATTGTGGCTGCAGCTAACAGAAATTTAGAAAGTTTATGTCATAACTTTATACTGAAGCTTTTCCATAAACCTGGAGCTGATTGCACGATGGGGAACTCTGGCAGTCGATGAGAGCTCGGAAAACCATGAACCCCAAGCCTTTGAGTTTTTTTTTCCATTCATTCGGCAAGTTATATTTGCTTTAGTTATATTGGCCTATTATCCATATTCTGTGAAAATTTATGTGGCTATCCCCAGCAGAATCAGATATAACTTAGAGATTTATAATCCTGATCATGAAAAAAATGTAAATTCACAGAATCTAAAGTTAGGTCTTGAAGATTTCAAATAATAGGCCTTTGACCATTTCCTTTTGGTAGCTTATTTCACTGTTGAATTGTCACTGGGAAGACGGTTTGTTGATACACTGTCTTGGAAACAAATAGTTTTTGTAGCTTTGTGAATAACTCCATCATGTTATTTTTTCCTGGCTACTTTCAACAACCGGGGTGATGGTTGGAAGGGAATTCAGACTTTTTGTTTTCCTTGAAATTAGTCTGGGTTTTAAAAAAAATCTGTTTCTGTCCTATGTCAACCAGAGATAATATAGTTTTTGGGTGTGATGGAGAGCGTTTTATAGGGAAACATGGCATATCTCAATTGTGTAGAAGAAGCTGAATAGACTAGTGTTTTGTTATCTGTCCAGCACAGTCTATATTTAACTGGCTGGAATATCAAGATCTGTGGATCCATAATTTTTTGACTAATACTGTGCTGTTCTCTACTCGAAGTGCCTGAATCAACCCATGATTATCTTGGTGAACAGGGAAAATATCTAGACCAATAAAGATCATCAGGAAATAAAAACTTTCAAAGGTAGTTTTTGACTCTGATTAGAAGTTTCTTCAGGTTTATACATCTCAACCAATGCCAACAGAAAACACACCTCACTTACAGCATTTAGAGTGACTGTCAGTGCTTTGAGAGGGTTTGGAAATTCCAGTGCCTTACCTTTGGTGTCAGCTGTGTCTCTGAGTTATAGTCTCTCCTCTGAGTCAGAAAGTTGTGGGTTCGGGAGCCACTCCAGAGACCAGAGACCAGAGCACAGAACTCTACGCGGGCAATCCCAGTGCAGTGCAAGGGAGTGCCGTACTGTTGGTGGAACCATCATTTGGATGCTGTGTCAAAACGGAGTTGTCTTTAATTTTGATTTGATTTATTATTGTCACATGTACCGACATACAGGGAAAAGTATTGTTTTGCATGCTGTCCGGGAAAATCTCACCTCACATAAGTACAACAGGGTAGTAGAACAGAATAGAGAATTTAGTGTTACAGCTACAGAGAAAGATCAACTCTAATATATGAGAAGTCCATTCAAAAGTCTGAAAACAGCAGTAACTTAAAAGATACCAGTAACTTAAAAGCACAGGAGATTCCGCAGATAACGGTCAATATTTATCCTTTATTAACGTCACTTAAAACACATCATCTGGTCATCATTACATTGCTGTTGGTGGAACTTGTTGTGCACAACTTACCTGCTGCATTTTCAATAGGAGTAATCAAGCTTCAAAAGTACCTTATTGATTGTTGAGCACTCTGAGATGTCCTGAGATGGTGAAAATCATGACACTAATTTAAGTTTTTCACTTCATTTTTTTAATGAATGATAACAAGCACCCAGTATCTTCAAAGAATCTGTGCGTGGTGGGTTGCAAATTGCAACTTATTGCCTGGTTGTAAGGGACCTTCCCATTTGAATCCAACATCAAATGATTCACTCAGTGTAAAGCCACAAACTCAACAAAAGTAACAAATAAACATGTGGTCTGTGTGGCTTTTGAAACTGTAACTTTGTAGTGAACAGTATTAGTATCAGTATCAGAATAAGTTCTCTGGAGACCTATTTTAATTACTTATTTTCAAATTAACAGGCAAAAAACAACCAACTTTTTGTAAATATCAAAAATCTCAAGAGTCAAGGAAAGCATGGTCCCATTTTAGACTACACAGCAACACTGCCTGCAGATTGGAAGCAAGGTGGCTACCCGAATGATTTAGGTATTCCAATCTCTAACTCATCATTAGCTAATGAATACAGTCGTTTTTGTGTATGTGTGTGTTTGTTTGTCACATTTGATTGGCAATGAATGGACAGGATATTAATGGGTAAACAAACAGGAGGCTGGAAAAACACAGCAAGCCAGTCAGTATCTGGAGGAGGAGAAGTCAATGTTTCGCATGTTACCCTTCTTCAGGGCTGGATGGGAGTTAGGGGAGCTGCAGACAAAGGGTGGGGTGGGGTGGGGTGGGGGTGGTGGTAGTGGAATGGTATGACCTGCTTGGTTGATGGGAGGGATGAATCTGGTCGGTTGCTGGAATGGAAGCGTGGAGACCCCACCACCCAGAACATCTTCCATTCCCCACCCCTCTCTGCCTTCTGCAAGGACCATTCCTATCACTACTTCTTAGATTGCGCCACACTCGCCGTCAACCACTCCAACACCTCCACCCCCGATACCTTCCCCTGTAACCGTAAGAGATACAAGACCTGCTCGCAACCACCTCCCTCACCTCCATCCAGGGCCCTAAACAGCCTTTCTAGGTGAGACAGTGTTTCACCTGCATCTCCTCCAACCTAGTCTATTGCATCCAGTGCTCCCAATGTGGCCTTCTCTACGTCGATGAGACCAAATGTAGACTAGATGACTGTTTTGCCGAGCATCTACGCCTGGCCTGTTACAGCCAGCCTAACCTCCCAGTCACTGCCCATTTTAACTCTTCCCCCAACTCCCACTCCGACATCTCCATTCTTGGCCTCCGCCAGTGTTGCTGTGAATCAGATCGCAAATTTGACGAACGACACCTTACCTTCCTCCTAGGCATCCTACAGCCCAGAGGACGTGATACTCAGCTGTCTAATTTTAAATTACCTTCCCAACCGTCCCTTATCTCCCTTGCCAGCCCCACCTTCTCCCTTTCATTCCACTTACCACTTACATACTTCCATTCCAACTACCAACCAGATTTATTCCTCCCATCAACCAATCAGATCATACCTATTACCAGTGTCCACCAATCACCACCATTCAGCTACCCTCCCCCCACCACCTTCATCTACAGCTCCCCCTACCCCCACACCCAGTCCTGAAGAAGGGTAATACCCGAAATGTTGACTTCTCCTCCACCATATGCTGTCTCACTTGCTGTGTTTTTCCAGCCTCCTGTTTGGCTACCTCAAATTCCAGCATTTGTGTCTTTTTTTTGTCTCCAACCAAGGATATTAATGGGTACATAGGTGGTGAAGAGCAGTTTTTCAGATGTGAATTCAGAAATCTGATCTTCCTACCTGCATTTGGCTTAAACAGAAGCTGTACCCAGAAGTCACTCCAACAAGTGTGATTTCCATTGAGTGGGAGGACGCCAGAACTTAGTGCTGTCAAGACCAGGTCACTCTAACCCCTGACCCCAGAAAGTTGAGGTGAGAGGTTGGATCCAATCCCTGTCCACACGGGTTGTTGTATGGGAGTCTTATAGCTTGGGAATCCAGAGAGTAGCACGCTTGCTTCTCTCGGCCCACAAGCAATGTTGTAAGAAACTTACGTTCTCCCCAAAGCTGCCTGCACCTCGTGTTTCCTATATTCATATCTGAATGGCCTGGCTCTAATTTTATTGTGCTGCCTCCTTGTACTGAACTCAAGGAATACAGTTTCTCATTATTTACCCTAGCAACATCTTTAATCATGTTATGCATCTCAGCTGGATTATCCTTTGTCTATACTCAATGGAGTACAAGCCTAGCTTGTGTGACCTGTCCTTTTAATTTCTCCCTTTCATTTAGAGTCATAGAGTCATACAGCCCATAAACGGATCCTTTGGTCCATCTCAGCCATGCTGACCACACATCCCAATCTGACCTAGTCCCATCTGCCAGCTTTTGACCCTATCCCTCTAAACCCTTCCCAGATACAATGCCCAGACTAAAAAGCAGTTACTTCAGATTTTCCATATTCTTCCTCAGTTGCTAAACTACATGCAATCAGAAACTTACTGTGCTTTTTGTTTAATTATAGGTGGTGCTTTTGGAATTGACCGAGGTTATGTTGGAAAATCGCTTAAAGGTATCATTTTAAACAGCTTCTCTCTTCTCAAAATTGCTTTTCTCTTCTCCAAAATTTCACCTCCTTTCATTACAGTTTTGGAAAACACGTCTGAGCATGGGTGACGGAGCCTCATCAGAGGTGGTGAACAGGTACTGGGGAGGCAAGAGCTGGGTAACTTGCCACATAATCCTTGGCCTCTGATCTGCTCTTGTAGCTATAGTATTTTTATATCCTGGTTTGGTTCAGTTTATGTTCAACAGTAACCTCCAGCATGTTGATAATGGGGGATTCAGTAATGATTATACTGGAGAAAATCTAGGGGACATGGCTAGATTTTCTGTTGTTGGAGATGGCCCTTTCCTGGCATTGTATGGCCTGAAAGCTACTTGGCACTTACTGTCACTCATTAGCAGACATCCCCACTTCTAACGGTGCATGGAAGGTCAATGGGTAAGATGGATGGTGCTAGAATGTTATTCTGGGAAGCTTCTGCAGTGTTGACTCAAGACTTTAAACAATCACAGCCAGCTTCCTTTGTGCTAGCTATGACTTCAACTAGTCGAGAGTTTTCCGTCTAATTCCAGTAGCTCAATTTTTTTTTTCTATGGATCCTTGATGTGCTACCTTCATGTCAAGGGCAGCCATTCTCACCGTACCTTGTTCTTTCAGCTGTTTTGACCATATTTGAATCAAGGCTATAATGAGGTCAGGACTTGAACAGCCCTAACAGAACTCAAAACAGGGTGTCACTGTGTAGGTTATTGCTGAGCATGTGCTGCCTGAAAGCAATGTTGACACACCTTCCATCACTTTGCTGCCAATCACATAGATTGATGTGGTAGTTATTGGTCTAGATGGATTTGTTCTGCTTTTTGTGGACAGGACATACCCAGGCGAGTTTGCACATTGCACTGGAAGAGCCTGGCCAGGGCACAGATAATTCTGTACAAGTCTTCAATACTAAGCTGTTATGTGAAGCTGTCAAACTTAATATTCTTTGTGTGAGACAAGGTGTAGGGAGGTATGAGTATATAAGAGGAGGAGGGGTATAAGGGAGGGAATAGTAAAAGATAGAGAAAAGCATGAGGGGAAGATGTGTTTAAGGGGTGGAAAGATCAAAGGGAGGAATTTAGGAGATGGTGGAATATAAGGCAGGGAAGGGTATGGTGAAGTTTAAGAGATGGAGTTTGCAGTTGATTGGCATTCCACATGTGAACAATCAAATTTAATTATGGCCATTAGATGTAATCTTAGGACAAAAGCAAACTACTGCAGATGTTGGAAATCTGAAATATCAACAAAATGCTGGAAATACTCAGCAAGTTAAACGGCATCTGTGAAAAAAGAAACAGGTAACATTTCAGGTGGAGATGACCTAGCTAAACTGGAAGGGGAAACACAGTGGCAAAGTGGTTAGCACTGCTGCCTCACAGCGCCAGGGACCTGAGTTCAATTCCACCCTTGGGTGACTGTCTGTGCAGAGTTTGCACATTCTCCCCGTGTCTGCATGGGTTTCCTCCCGCAGCCGAAAGACATGCAGGTTATGTGGATTGGATGTGCTAAATTGCCCATAATGTCCAGGTGGATCTGCCATGAGAAATGCAGGAATAGGGTAGAGGTGTGGGTCTGGGTAGGATAGACTTCTGAAGGTTTGGTGTGGGCTCAATGGCCTGCTTCCACACTATAGGGATTCTATGACCTACCAAGTGTCATCTGGTCATCGACCTGAAACACTAACTTCACTTCCTCTCCACATATTCTGTCTCATCTGATGTAATGTTGGTCTTAACTTCAGTCAGCTTTCTGATTTGGATGAGTGATTAATTTTTTTAACATTTTCTAGATCTGGTGAAGAATTCGGGCTGTAGTGCCAGCACCTGCTCACTCAACAGCACTGAAAACCCGTATGCCACCATCAAGGACCCTCCAGTTTTTACATCTAAAAATTCAGAGTGTGGTTATGTTGAGATGAAGTCCCCAGCTCGCAGGGATTCACCATATGCTGAAATTGGCAACTCCACTTCAGCCAATAAAAATGTCTATGAAGTTGGTAAGTGTGGGGTAATCATCATTATTTTAGCAACAACTTAGTTAATATGTCTAAGAACTAACTATATTTATTGTTGTATGAAAATAAGTATTCATCTTAAGACTGCATAGAGAGCAACACACAGTCCTATTTGTCAATAATCCACTGTAAGGAACTCCCTAGGAATTGTGAACAATGCCTATTCACATCATCTCTCCTTGAATATATGAATATTCCTAAATGAGTGAAGCATTTTATTCCAAACTAATTAAACAAACTTCTGCTGATTGCTGAGTTTACCCCTGTCAAACATTTGATGACCCCCTCAGTCATCAAACAGACTGGCGAACACACACAAGCATAAGAGGTGCATTCTGGTCACTATCATATCCCTATGTCTGCAGTTTCATCCTCCACCAATGTTAATAAAAGTGGTCATCACTATTAAAGCGTAAGATCTGTAAAGATACCACTTAAACAATTCTATCTTCCTTAGCTGTTTTGTCTTCAACCTGGCAATGTAAAAATGTAGCTATGTGCATGTTCTTGTTGTGGGTGAGATGTCAACACCCAGAACTGCAACACCACATCACAGCTGCTATTTGTGGACAGACAGGTACTGAGAGCTGTATTGCTCTGGGAAAACGTAAAATAGTAAAAGGAAATGATCAGGTGCTTTGCAATGGCTAAAACAACAAAAAGAATCTTCAACATAGCATAACACAGTAAAATATCCACAGGTTGTTCAAACAAGCATTATCAAACAAAATGTGACACCAAATCCATAAGTAGATATTAGGACAGATGACCAGAAGTTTAATCAGAAAAGGTAGGATTTAAAGACCATCATAAAGACGGGGGAGGGAGAGAGATGGAGAGGTTTAGGCAGGGAATTCCAGAGCTTAGGGCCCATGGGTACCTATGGTGGGGCAACCAAAATCAGAGTTATGCTTAAGATGGTGAGTCTCTGATTCTACATCCAGATTCTTGTAAGTTGTAGACTCATAAATGCAAAAGACCAATGATTCTGTGACAGATATTTCAAAAAACAATCAGTTAGTCTCACTTCCCTATCTCATTGTATTTTGTCTTCTTGCCAAGTACTTACTTCCCTTTTGAAATCTCTCATCAAATTAGTTACCATCACTCTTCCAGGCATTGCACTCCAAATCTTAAGTACTGTGCATAAAAAAATAGATTTTCCTCAAGTCATGTCAGGTTCTTTTGTCAATTACCTTAAATCTAAGCCTTTGATTATCGACCCTTTGAGCATTGGAAACAGTTTCTCTTTATCAAAACTCATCATGATTTCAAATACTTTTATTAAACTCTTCTTGGCGGCTGTTCTGAGGAGGATGGTGTGACTTTCTACAACATGGCATGTTTGCTGAGGATAAGGCATAATATACATGGCAACTAAATATGATATTCTTGTATTGTAGAACCAACAGTAAGTGTTATCCAAGGAACATACTGCAACAACGCGCCTTTAGGTCAAGATCCCTACGATCTGCCCAAGAACAGTCACATTCCGTGCCATTATGACTTGCTTCCGGTCCGAAACAGTCCTTCACCATCACTGAAAACAGATGACAACGAATGAGTGAAATGGCACCAATTTACTACTGCCAAATAGTCGAGGTTGCACACCTCTGTCGGGGGTTATCAGAAGAACATTGACCAATGTCTTGCCACCTCTTCTGGCTCGTGTTTAGGTGATGATTTAACTCCAGAGCTCAGCTGAAGTGCAGATGGTGAGCAGGGAAACATTGGAGACGCTAGACCACACAAAAAAAAGACACCCCCCCCCCACCACTTGTTAAAACATCTTTCTTATTTTTCATTATTTTGAGGTGTCTTTGAGGACTGAGATTAAATTGGTGTCTGCTTTACAGACATGTAGAATTATTTGGGCATTTGAGGCTGAGTTATACCCTGGTACTCACATTGTGAAAATAAAATGTCAGTGAAGAATTTATTTGTCCAACATTTTCCAGAAAGAAGATCCTTCTAAACAGGTCTACCATCTCACTCCTTAATTGCTACAAGTATTTTTTTTTTAAACAAATCATTCCATGTATGCATTACTAACATTTAATGTTACAAATTGAGGATAATTTCTTCAAGTAGGTCGCTTAGAAATGCTTTAGTTCTTTATATTTTGCCTAAAACTTGGCTTAACTGAGGAAAACGAGGAAAAAATGATCAAATGTCACTGCATGATCTTAAGCAAAGCGCAATTAATTGCTGAACCCTTGAATTCAGAAATTAAAACATGCACTGTTAATATATTAATCAAAGGGAGATTTCCATTGCATTGTAACCGGACCCACATCCCTTTGAATCTGTGTAGCCACAGCCATTCGCTGTTCCTATCTGCGAGCTATTTGTAAAATAAGCCAATGCTGTGCTTAAGCTGGTCTTTTGTGCATCAGAAGTAAGTTTGTAAAGATAGCTGTGAGGTTGCTCTTTCAATAACTGCCTGTTTTCAAAACATGTTTCTCATGATCTTTGCTCTTGTTTTTACATTTAATTCAATGTTCAGATTAATATTTCTGTATATTGATTTCATTGTTAATTGAGAATATGACATTTTGTTTGTTGTTGTGAACTTGCCTCAGCCTTCCTGAGCCAGTATTATTAGTCCTGTTAATGTATAATAAGTTGTACATAGATGTAAAACCAGGTTAAACCAACTGACAAGTGGTAACTTGTTTAATGGATTTAAAACTGTACAGTGGAATATCCTGCCCTATTAGTAAACATTAACTTTTAAGTGCTGTTGCACTGTAGCCATATATTGCGTGGTGACATTAAATATATTATCCCACAAAGACGACTGCCTTTACCTGACTGATAACATTTTTGTTACGTAATTTATGTTTTTTTCTCAATCAGTTTATATCATAAACAAAATAGAGGTATTTTACTCCATTTATCTCAAACAAAAACCAGTGCTAAATCTTTTTCACTTATGTTCTGCTCTTTAAGTATTACATCTGCTACTTTTTATGTATAGAGTGTCTGCCACCAGCTTTCCAATAAAACTTATTCTTTAAAGAGTACTCAGTCTGTGTCTATAAGTGCAATCATCTTATCCATTTCACTTCTTTTTATAAAAAAAAACGTCATCTGTGATTCAGTAAAATGGTGGAATAGGCTTATTAGTCCAAATGCTGCTTTTGTACTTAGCACCTCGGCTGCAAGACAGTTAGTTGCTGCTCAGTGGGTTACACTTTCATCTCAAACTCAAATGTTCATTCATTTCAAAGCCCATTGAGTAGTCCTCGTTGAAGTCCAAGGAAGCACCATTCAGTTCAGGAGGGCCCAGCGCAGTATTTCAAAGGCTTTTATGAGGGGCATAGTCATATCTTCAGGGGGTTGGGAAGTGTTAAGGGAATGTACAAAAGGGAAGGGGGTCACGGGGGAGGGTGGATTGTGTTTGGTGAGGAGCACTCTGGCTTTGAAGTGAGGGGTATGGGGAGACTATTTATGACCACAACTGGCATGGTCACTTCAAATGCCAGAGGCTGGAGGGGTAAGGTTGGTAGGTGCGGGGTTATGTAAATAGGTTGAATGGGGACTGGGTGTTTTCTGCTTCAGTGACATGTTCAGGTGGAGGCTGCAAGCCACAGGCTGAGGAGCGCTCATTATTGCCTTGCATTATGCCAGAAATTGCAAGAGCACAATGGAGAAGAAAATGGCTGTTCCACATTTGGAGTGGGTAGGATAAATGTTTTGACTTGTGAGGGAGGTGGAGCCCAATTGATGTGTGGGTTTTAAAATGAAACCACATTAGATACAGAACCATCTACAATACAGGACACAGAGGCTCTGTTCTCTGGCTATCCTAATGCATGCCCCCTGTTTGTGTTGCACCTCCCTGCCCCATACATCACTGACCAACACTTTTGGACACAGAGTAGGGTGGTTGTACATGGAAGAGAAGGATATGAGCGGCACCCATTGCTCTGTGTAGGCCTTGTTCCTCTGGGTTCCAGAAGAAGCAGCAGGTTCTCAGCACAGACCTCAATTCATGGAAATTCATCTGTGGTCATGAAGTGACATCTCATACTGTAATAACAACTAAACCGAGAGTCAAACAATTAGATGTAAACTGAGATCAGTGATATTTATTTGAAAAGGCCAAAATTATATATAGTACATTGTCATAGATCTTCCTCCTCTCCCTCTATGTCTTTGTGTACTCCCTTATTCTTCAGCTAAAGTGGAGTGAGCCTGCTTGGCAATGGAGCCCACTTGCCTTAGGGGCTTTGTCAGGCAACACTAGGGGTATTTGTGTCTAGATGGACCACATATGCTGAGGGAAGAGTAAAGTTGACCCTCCTTAGCATGAACTTCCAAAAGTCAGAGGGGTGCAGGCAGGGAGCAAGTGGAGGACTTGGCTACCTGAGAGGAGCATTCAGAGGTTGTTGTGTGTGGTTCTTCTTCCTGGTAGCTCCTGGCACAGCCCTGTGTCCTGGTGAGGAAGGGTCAACTGCTGTTCACATTGGAGACCCTCTCCCCTTGTCGCTGTGCCTTTTGGTCCTGAGGACCAATAGATTGGGCAATGAAGTGTAGGTGTTTGTGCATCTCCAGCAGTCATTGAGGGGACTGAGCCTGTATCTCCATGGAAGCTACTGTTCTGTTCATGGAAGGAGCCAGATGGTAACATGACTTACCTCACAGCTGCAGATAATGAGGGCCATTGTGTCACACATGACTGAATACTGCTCCTGATCCATCCTGTTCATATAGACTAAGCTCTTGATTGCTGACATCACAGGGTCCTCACCTGCCTGCGGCTGTGCAAGTGCCCAGTCCAAAAGTCCTCCAGGTGCCAGTGGCCTGAGCCATTTCTTCCTTGCCAGGTGTACAGCTGTCACAGTGAGGTGCTCAGCAGATTTTGCTCCAATATTCTTTAAGCCTAACATTACCAGTGAGGTGTCAGTATCTGAACTGGTGGGCAGTGCAGGAGGCCGACTTACTGGTGCATACTCTGTGGCCTTCATCCTTTTATCCTCTGAGGTAGCTTCTGGGGGAGTCAGTCATTTCAATGGACATTAACAGTAATTGCAATACAGAAGAGAGCAAAGTCTTTATGGTTAGAAGTGGTCTGTAATGAATTACACTGGCAGTGGGGTTAATGTGAGAGTTACAGTGGAATGAACGTAGTTGGTTGGCAGGACATGGATGTCTCAGCATCCCTGCAGTTATTGTCCTGGTCTTTTCCTGTAAGGACCAGGATTCTTTTCGCTTTTGGGGTGAAATCCTTAATGTCGGGCAGCCCTCTACACATATGGGCTCTCCCTGCCCTGTTTAGGGGCTGTCTTCTCCTGTAATGAGGGATTGAGTGAGATAAAAGTAGATGGCACAGCTGTTGGACCTGATGCACCTGAGCAAAGGGTGGATTGGTGTCCCAAGATAGCATAGAGGTCATAAGGGATTGGGAGTTTGGGGGCGGTAGTTGCGGGTAAGAGAAGATGTTGCAAGCGACCGTGAGAGTGGTAGGCCATGAACCTTGTGGGAGGTGGGTGTAGTAGCAGAGACCAAATAAGAAAGCAGAGAGTGTAGCACGTAAGCTGATCTCGTGGAGGAGGACCTTGACCCTATCACAACACAGTGGGTCATCCCTCCACACTGTTGAGATGGCATTTATCCATAATAACAAAAATCCAAAAATAAACAGCCCTCCTCAGCAATCCCCTCAACTAGGATGTCCTTTCGAGAGAATCATGGTGCCATCTGACTTTCTTCGACATGTTCGGAATCTATCTGTGACTGAGCAGGGCAGTCATTCAAAGATGGCGTGGGCTGAAGGGATGCCGGTCTTTCAGCAGGTATGTGCTGAGTCATGATTTTTTCTCTGAACGACATGTTGTAAGATGGGGCCAGAAACTGACATGGCAGATGCTTACGGGACTGGATCAGTAGTTAAAAGCAACAGGTTTGGAAAGAGACACAAGAAAATTCATTAGATCTTGCAGCAAAAAAATCCCTCAAAAAGATTCAGTACAACTCACACTTAGCCGAAAGAAATATAAGACTCAGCCATCTGTCTTCCCACTCAAAATTGAAATGCACTGGAAAGTGTTTAATCTTTTATCATGGCTGCTTTAGATCCTTTGAGTATGAGTTAGCATGTACTGTTGAGATTGTACAGGACGTTGGTGAGGCCTTTTCAGGAGTAGTGTCCAGATCTGGTTGCCCTGTAATAGGAAGGATATTATTAAGCTAGAGAGTGTCCAGAAGAGATTTACCAGGATATTGCTTGATATCGCAGGTTTGAGTTACAAGGAAAGGCTGGATAGGCCGAGACTTTTTTCACTAGAGCATAACAGGTTGAGAAGTGACCTTAGAGAAGTTTATAAAATCATGAGGGATATATATAAGGTTAATGGTAGGTGTCTTTTCCCCTAGGATGGGGGCTTTCAAATTAAGGTGAAAGGAGGGCAATTTAAAAAATGACGGGTTCATGTGTGGAATGAACTTCCTGAGGAAGTGATGGATGTGGGCACAGTAACAATGTTTAAAAGACATTTGGATAAGTACATGAGTAGGAAAGGATTGGAGTGATTGGGTCCAGGAGCAAGCAGGAGGAACTAGTGTAGTTTAGGATTATGTTTGGCATGGACTGGTTGGACCAAAGGGTCTGTTTCCATGCTGTATGACTCTATGACTCAATGATTCAGGTGTTGTTGCCACATAGTAGCATAATCAGCATGAATGGTTGATCTTAAGCTATCTATTACTTTTCAATTAACAACAAATTGTATAAGATTGCTTAGAATATACCTCGCAGCAATAAAGACATTTAGGCCAATCTGTCATTGTCAGTCTTTATCATGCACTCAAGCCTTCTCTCATCCTTCATCATCAGCATAAATCTTCAAATAAAAGCCAAACACTGCAGCTACCGGAAATCTGATAGAAAGAGAAAGTGCTGAAGAAACACAGCAGGTCTGGCAGCATCTGTGGAGAGAGGAACGGGGTTAACATTTCAAGATAAAATGACTTCTGAAAAAGAGTCATATCTGATTCAAAGTCTTTCTTTGTTTCTCCACAGATATTGCTAGACCTGGTGAGTTTCTCAAGTATTCTCTGTTCCTATGGCATAAATCTTATATTCTTTTCTTCCAGATTGGTTTATCAAGGTTCCCCCCAACCCCATTAAATACATCCACACTATCTACTTCATCTCTCCATGTGGTATTGGTTGCCAGTCCCTCCAAAAAAATTGCTTTGCCTGAATTGTATATTGGATTTCTTGGTGATTATCTTAAATTGCAGGTCCCTTGTTTTGCTCTTCCCCATAAGTTAAACACTTGTGTATCCACTCTTATGGAAACCTTTCATTACTTTAAAGATCCCCCTATTAGGTCATCCCTTAGCCTTCTACTTTTCAGCCTGTACATTCATCCTGATAGGTATAAATGTTGAGTTCTGTTTTCATGGGATAATGTTTCACATGAAGGAAAGAAGTTCTACAGAAACAGAATCGTTACTGCCAGCGAACATCTTTAACTCTGCAATCCCAATATTTCGCATGATTTCCAAAATGAACAAGGAAACCTCCACCTGACTACTACCTACTACCTTGCCTCTGTATTCATCCACGTTGAACACCACTTGGAAACAGCACCGAGTACAGCAAAGGTACAGAATATCCATTGTAAAAGGGACTTCAATGCCCCTCACCAAGAGTGGCTCAGAAGCTCCATTAATGATAAGCTGATCAAGTCTTGAAAATAATATTTGTCAGGATGGGACAGCAAGTGTTTCGAAAATCGAGAGAAAAGGCGAATTGACCTCATCTTCACCAATCTACAGGTGCATCTGTACACAGCAGCTTTGGTAGAAGTGTCAACGTACAGTCCTTGTGGAAATGAAGATCTATCTTCACATTGAAGATGCTGTCTGTTGTGTTATGTGGCATTATTACCAGGCAATATAGAACAGATTCAGCACAGATCTAGAATCTCAACCCGGACATACATGAGGTGCTGTCAGCCATCAGAAGAACGGTATTCAACCACCATCTGTAAACTCATATCTCTCATTACATTTACTACTACCATTAAACTAGGGGAACGACTCCTGTTCAATAACGAGTTTAGGAGAGTGTGTCAGGTGCAGCACAAACTCAAAAATGATGCTCCAATTTAGTGAAACTACACCACGGGACTATATACCTACAATACAAACAACATGCAATATAGGGAGCTACAAAATCTTAGAACCAATGGATCAGATCAAAACTTTGCAGTTCTGTCACATCCTGCAGAAAAGTCATGGACAATTAAGCAATCAATGAAAACAGCTGTTTCCATAAATATCCCCATCCAGAATGAATGTAGAGTCCATGACATTAATAAGGCTGAAGCATTTACAAACATATTCAACTCGCCATGTCAAGTGGATAATCTCAGTCTCATTCAGAGTTTGCCAGTATCACACTATACCCCTAGGCAAACTGTACCAGGCCAATTGTAATGCTAGCATGTATTAAACAATGTGGAAAATTGTATAGGTATGAACTATCCATGCCTATGGATGTGAGAGTGGTGCTGGTGGTGGAGTAGGGATGGAGTCCAGTGGTATCAGTGAATGTATGTTGGTTGACATGTCCATGGATGTCAGCCAGTGTGATAGGTGGGGGATGTCAATGGGTGTCAATAAGTGTGTGAGGGGGACAATGAGTGTCAGTGAGGGTGTGGGTAGCCGTGCATGCCAGTGAGAATGGGGGCGGTGACAGTGAGTGTGAGAGGATCAATTAGTGCCAGTGAGTATGTCTGGAGAGAGAGGTCAAAGGGCATCAGGGTCATTGTGAGGTCCACCCTGTGTGCGTTTCCCATTTAAGAGGCTTCGATGGTACGTGGCAGCTGATGACGTACGCACTGCTGACGTGGCCGCTGATGTTACCGGGGCGACGGAGCCATCTTGAGCGGGAGCAGCGGCGACGGAGACCGACATACTGGGGAGGTGAGAGACAGACACGGACATCGACAGCCTGGGGAGGTGAGAGATAGAGACACACACCGACACCGACACACTGGGGGGGAGGCAGGGAGGCACCGGGGGAAAGAGGGGACGTGGTGTCAAGGAATGAGAGAGACCCTTAGCCGTTAAGGCTGATACAGGGACCCGGACCCTGACCCCCACAATGTGGTCTTGGTCCGAGTCCCCATCTCTTTCCCCGCACCGGGGATGCTGACCTACCCGGGATCTTCCCGTGCCTCTTGCTCCTGGCCTCGGGACCGAGTGGAGCTCCAGACGGGCGCGAATTTGTGAAGCTGGCCGCAGGGATTTCTGCCTGGCGTTCGCATGTCAGTCCGAGGACGCTCTCCTTTTCAGACTTTAAAGGTTACTGACGTTTGCTTGAAAACAAAAAGTAAACGCCAAATTGCCAAACCGTGCCAAGTTCAGTCGGGGGTGAGAAGCGGGTCCCTGCCTCTGAGCCAAAAACGGCGGGGTCCAGTCCCACTGCAGGATTCGATGGCCTTGGGAGGGGGTATGCTCAGCATGTAGCCAAACAAAGTTGAACTTGTCACTTATGCCAATGACCGACGATAAGGATGAAAGAAATTGCTGATCAATCAGACTCGTGTGGTACCTGCAGAATATTAGCTTTCCATTTAACCCACCCCTCCATCCCACCACTATGTTTAAGACTTCATGTCGAGGTTTCAAGGTACTACTGCTAACCTCCTCCCCAAACATACATACACACAGTCTGATGTAAAGCGCTCCCACGCTCTGGCACATGAGTAATCGGGCAAATTTTGATGCGAATAGGACTGGCACCCAGAAGCTTGATTTAGGTACTAAGCAGTTCCTTACAGAAGGGTGGAGCAGCAGAGTTGCTTATGGAGGGAATTCTGGAGTTTACAAGGAATGTTAAACACAAGGCTCCTGCACCTCTTCGGGTGAATGTTAAAAACTTTGGTGCTATTTCAAAGAGGATTTATTTCCGGCATTATGGTCAATGTTCATTCCCCCAACTGAAATTTTTGAAGCAGGTTCTTAGGAATGATGAAATTGCTGTTCTTGAAGATTCATGTGCACAAATTGGTTGCTGTTTCCTACATTACAGCACTGAATATTGTACATGTCAAACAGTATTTCATTTATAAAGTGCTTTGGGATATCTGACTGTGTGACATTTCCTGTATAAATGCAAGTCTGTATCTATTCATCTGTTATCTGTCCTGCTACCCACTCACTTTCTGTCCAAGTTACATGGTCACCTTTACCTTATTATATTAGTCAGCATCAACTCACGTAGTCAAAGTATTGCTTTAAAGATGGGCTCTTAGAGAATCAGGTGATTCCCTGTAGTTTTTGTTGGCAGTATTTTACTCGATTACTGTGAGTTGCTGATTGTGCTCAGTAAGAAGTTTTACTGAAGGCGGCACGGTGGCTCAGTAGTTAGCACTGCTTTGTAACAGCACCAGGGACCCAGGATAGATTCTAACCTTGAATGACTGCCAGTCTGAAGTGGGCATGTTCCCTATGTGTCTGTGTTGGTTTTCTCTGGGTGCTCCGATTTCCTCCCACAGTCCAAAGATGTGCAGGTTGGTGGATTAGCCATGCTAAATTGTTCCTAGTGACTAGGGATGTGTAGATTAGGTGGATTAGCCGTGGTAAATGCAGGTTACGGGTCTAGGGTACGGACTGTGTCTGGGATGGGTGCTCTTCGACGTGTGTGTGTACAGACTCGATGGGCTGAATGGTCTCTTTCTGCACTGTAGGGATTTTATGATCCTAAATGAAGCAACAGAAATGTATGGTCAAGAGTGTGGATCAAATGCTGATATTCATGGAACCTTATCATTCTGGATCATGGTTGTAAAAATTAGAGCTGGGAGGTGTTTTTTTTACCAGAAGTTGCTGCAGTGGATTTTGCATCTTGTGTATCCTATTGTGATAGTGTGAGCGGTGAAGGAGTTTTGTATGAAGAAGGAGGATTTGCAGTGGGCAACAAATGCTGCGCTTACCAGTGATAGAATGATTACAGCACACTTCCAACCAACCAGCCTTTGTATTCGTTCTCTTGTTTGTGTACATTGCATGGTGTGACGAGAAGCAAGGTGCAAGGAGGCTGCATATCTAGTCACTGGTTTGCCATATGTTACCTGTTAGTGGAGGGGTTGGATTTCCTATTCCGGGATGAGAAATCAGCTCATGTTCATAGAAATCATAGAATCCCTACAGTGTGGAAACAGGCCCTTCAGCCCAACAAGTCCACACCAACCCTCGGAGTATCCTACCCAGACCCATCCCCCTATGACCCACCTAATCTACACATCCCATACGGGCAATTTAGCATGGCCAATCCACCTAACCTGCACACCTTTGGACTGTGGGAGGAAACCAGAGCACCTGGAGGAAACCCACGCAGACACGGGGAGAATGTGCAAACTCCACACAGACAGTTGCCTGAGCGTGGAATTGAACCCAGGTCCCTGGCGCTGTGAGGCAGCAGTGCTAACCACCGTGCCGCCCTAAATTCTGAACTGTTGCATAAAAGCACATAAATATGAATGTTTCTCTGGTATTCTGAGGTGAGTTCACATCTTATTTCTCCTTAGTATTCCCCAGCATTCACTTTTTTTGTGTATCTGCAATCTCGTCATTTGACCATTGATATCTAAGTGCTGGTGGAAGTAAATTCTTCTGCACTGCCACCATCGGAGTGGAGCAGCATGCCGTGCAATGAATCATCCACTTTGCAGTTTGCAAAAGTAAAACCGTACATAGTTATCGGTTATGAGTGGAGGTCACACAGCAAAAACTTGGTGAACTGCATTGATAACTTGCTGGGCCATCACTTTTTTTAAAGCTCAGCTTTTAGTGGATTCCTTGTTGCAGGAGTCCTTTTAGAAAAGACCATTGCACAAATTCCTAAAGCTTTCAAACTGTAAAGTTATTGGAATTTGCCAAGTATATAGTGACAGTCCAATTGCAATACTGATCCAAATGTTTTAAACTCCTTCCTTTTGATTTGCAGTTATTTTAAACCTGATGAAATTTCCACTATTTCTGACATTTTGGTGGTTATAAGGGTCCTCCTGAGGATCCATTTCATGTGTTTCTAAATCTACATCATTCAACCACACCTCTTTTAATTTCAGAAAAACGTGCTTCCTTTCAGTCGTTTCTGGTGAAATTGCATCTGCATGGGCATTGAGCAAGCTTTTGACAATTATTGGAGTTCCAGCTGCCTACTTTGATCTCAAATACAATCAAACAATAGCTTTGAGCTTTTTTTGATTTCTCGAAGTCCATACCAGGCATTTTTCTTTCACAATTGCTGATGGAAGTGGTCCAGCTTCGCCATTAGAATAGCCTCAGTTAATTTACCATGAAAGACCTTTCTAAGTAACATTAATACTTCCGAAACAGAGCTAAAATTAAACTTAATAAAACCTGAAAGAATTGCAGATGCTGTAAATCAGGGACAAAAACAAAGTTGCTGGAAAAGTTCAGCAGATCTGGCAGCATCTGTGAAGGAAAAAAGAGTTAACATTTCGGTTCCGGTGACCCTTCCTCAGAACTCCGCACTCAGAATTGTGTGTGTGTAAAATTAAACTTAGTTTGCCAGCTGGTGTTATTTTAATCTTGTTGAATCATTTGCCTTTGACGTTTTAGCAGCATTGTTGGTACTGTTGGAACTCAGTCTGGAAATTAAAAAGTACAATATTAATTGTGAAGTTGAAGTTATCATGGAAGCAATTTGTGAAGGAAATGTTGCCACTAATACAAGAACAGGTCCAGCACTCTTCTGTTCCATTGTGCCCAAGTTTATTTTAATTGCAGTTGTGCGTGGTGCCAGTGAAGGTGAGACTGTTGAGCTGATGATAAAGTGGAGTTTCATAATTTTTTTTCATAAAAATTATCACACGATGTTGAGTGTTCATTCTGCCACCAAGTACGTAGCGGTCATTTAGCCATTTCTACTTGTGCTTTTTTATCGCCACCTCCGCCACTGGCAACAAGGTTTGCCATCTGAGCAATGCTCTGTTGTAACTCCTCAGATATTCAGTATGGTTCAAAATCTGTATCACAGAAGAACAAAGGGTTGTAGGCACACACCACCAGCTACAATGTCCCCTCCATGTTGCACTTCATTGAAACATGAAAATCTTTTGCTGTTCCTCCAAGGTCACTGGATGAAAATCCTGGCACTCCTTCACAAACAGCATTGCACTCTGGGTGAATCTTCATGTGGACTGCAGCAGCTAAAAGCATCCACCCCATTTACAGGGATCATTAAAGATGAGCACTGTATATTAGCTTTGCTAAAAATGCTAATATCTTAGGAATAAATGCATTATAAAAATCTCCCCCTTTTAGAGTTGCAATTAAATTTGCTTCCACCACCCTTTTTTATAGCAGTGAAATCCAGATCATAACTCTCTGCCTTTTTTTTTTACTTTTTATTTCGCTGATTTCCATGAATCTCATAGGGCTTTCTTGCTAACACTGCAGTAAGTGTACCTATGTCCCATAGATTCCAGCAGTTCAAGATGGTGGCTCACTACCACCTTGAAGAAAATTTGCAGTGGGCAGCAGTTGCTGGTCTAACTAGTGATCGAATTTTTACAGCACAGAAGGTTTGAGCAATTGTGAAATTGTGAGCTCTGTTAAAGAACAGTTCACATTGCCCCCTGCTCATTGCCCACGCACCCTATAAGGAGAAAAATGCAAAATTGTGACCTGTTACTAGCCCTGCCATCTAACCATTGAAAATAGCTTTTGCTTTCTCATTCTACATGAAAATTTCCCAACCCTAATGCCTCAGCCTACAGATTGGGATTTTTTTTTTTGTGCTGATGTCCCTGGATTGACTTTTTGACTCTCTGCTATCAACATTGAATGAATAAATGTAGCTAACCACTTTTCCAATCTATGCAAATATGGATACTTCTGTCCAAGTGGTTCTGAATTTGGAGTCAAGAAGTATAACTGTTGTATTTCTTTGTTTTTGTATGCTTGCAGAAAATTGTGATTGAAGAAAAAAAATGATGGAGGAAAGTGGGATTGAAACGACTCCCCCCAGTACCCCACCACCTAGCACTGCAGTGACTGCAAGCAGTCCCCCTGCCCCTACAGGTAGTACTGTTTTAAATTTCAAACCAAACATTCAAGCAAAGAATGTATATTCATAGACAAGAACATGTCAGTGAGTAAATTAGTATTAATTAATTAAATAACAAAGAATACCTTGACAAACATTCATGTCAGTGTGTGCATTTTAACTTTTTTCTGATAATCAAGATTCTAATTCCTATTTTTGCAGGTTGTGCCTCACTGCAAGAAATTATCTCCAGTTTTAAAAGTTATAAAAGTTGAGGGAAAATGGTAAAGAATTTTATTGTAAGATCAGTAACAAGGACATTGATATGGAAAAGTAAAAACTGCAAATAACGTCCCACTAAGAAAACTAATGATTTTAGGGTAAACTTTTAAGAATCATGAGAATGTCAGACTCACTTCGACAGGAAGTGGTTGAGGTGAAGCACTTGGGCATATTTTAAGGGAAAGCTGGATATATGGCGAATGGTGGTAGTGAGATGAAGATGGGATGGGATGGAGCTCAGAGTGTTAACAGAAGCATTTTTTTCTGTGCTGTAAAATTCCTTTTAATTCAGAAACCCATGACTGGTAAAACTAATGAGGAAGTTTCAAAATTTTCTTTTTTGATTTATGAAGTATTGTTTCACAAGTGCCTATAGAGACAAAAACTGCAGTTGATTTTCTGTATTTGAAAATAGCAAATATAAATGGACAGGCATTGATAATGGCGAACAGAACATAGCATTAGTTTGCCGTATTGACAAAGCTATACCAATTAACCAACGCTGTACAATCATTTCTGTGCCTGTAGATATTATAGATGAAATTGAGATTTTATCTGGATACTTAGTTGAAACATTTATCAACTGTTTTCAATGCAAAATTTAATCTATTGATGTGAGAATGTTTCATCATTCACAATTTTTATTAGCAAGCTTCATAATATTCAACCAAAGAGCTTTTTACTGTGGGTTCAGTCTTGCAAAATTTTAAAATTTAAAAAAATTTAGCTTCATGTCTGATTTGTTAGCTAGTATCTGAGCACATCCACACATCTGCCCTGCAGAAAAGCCTAAACCAAGATTGAAGTAAGAAAGTTGTATTCGGCAGGTTGTTTTTTTTATGTCTCGCAAATGATTGTGTGGATGAAATGTTGCATTCTAATGAATGGGAATGTGTTTTTGTGCAGTAGAGTTCTCTAAATTAAATGTTATGAGTGCAGCTAGGTTACTATTTCAGTGGGCTTTTAAAAAATTGATTCCTTTGAGTTTGCCTGCCTTATAGGCGTATATGTTGTACTGTTATTATGGAGCTTAGAAATAAGAAATTGACATCAATTGGCATGTAAATGCTGAGAGTCATTATGAATGCAGTGGTAATACTGCGTTTAGACAATTAAAAACATTAAAAGGCAAAGTCAGTGTGGTTTTATTAATGGAAAATTTTGTATGTGATATATTGAGTAGGAATTGTAAGGATGTACCTAACATGGTAGATGATGGGGGAACCAGTAAAAGTAGTATATCTTGCTTTGAAAAGGTGTTACCAAAGGTTGTTGCACAAGTTAAGGGCTTAAAGGATGGAGGTCAGATATTCAGAGGCTTGGTTAATGGATAGGAAATAGGAATAAATAAGATTTCTCAGTCTATATGAAATCAATGGAGGCACTAGTGAAGGCACAATGTTTCCAAATCTGGTGATAGAAGACAAGTTGGGAAAGCTGTGTGGAGTCCACAATGGTTTCTAAGGGTTAGAAATGGGTTCAGTGGGTGGATAAGAGGTGACAGGTGGAGTATAATGTGGAGAAAAATGTTGTTGATGACTCAGGATGCTTAGAAAAACTGAAAAATAATTGGTTACATAATACTCGATGGTATTCAGAGTTTTGGGTCTCTTGTACAAGAAACACACTTATTATGCAGATACTGCAAGTAAGCAGGAAGTAATTGGTATTTTGACCTTTTTACAAGAAGGTAAGAGTAAAAGTTGCTGCAATTATACAAGGCTTTGAGACAGTGTAGTTGTGTTTTGCTTTCCATATTGAATATTCCTGTCTTAAGGTTACAGTGAAGGTTCATAAATTGATTACTGAAATTACTGAAATGAGTGTTGACATCTGAGAAGAGATTGATTTGAATGGCATATGTTCCCTGGTGTTTAGAAGAATCAAAAAGTGGTCTCCATGTAAAGTTCTTCAAAGGCTTGGTAAGATGGATGTGGAAAGGCTATTTTCACTGGCTGAAAGTCTGGAACTAGAAGGCAGTCACAGGAGGAGGGGCTGGCCATTCCAGATTGAGATGAAGAAGTTTGTCATTCAATTCAGAGTCTTGAAGATTCTCTATCCTGCATACCTATGAATGTTTAATCATTGAGTGTATTCAAGACAGAAATCAATAGATGTTTGGACTCGAAGGGTATTGGGGATTGGTGGGAAAGTTTAAGGTTAAAAATTAGCCATGCTCTTTCCAAATGTTGGAGCTAATTTGGGAGGGATGGGTGAATGCCCTACATGTTTAAATAAGAACAATGTTTATGTTGATTATATGCTTCTAAATCTTTTCATATTTCTTTTGTTTCTCTTTTTTGGCTTATCTGTCTGCAGTTCTACCCAGTCCTTTATCTAATCCTATCACCAGCTCTATCTCTTCATTACCTCCCTCAACCTTTTCCACGCCACCACCTCCTCGAACCCACGTGCCTCCTGCTGGGTCCTCCACACCCCTGACAATGGGATCTTCTGCTGTCGCTTCCACCATACATCCAGCTGTTGCTCATTCTGGGACTGCCGCTTATAGCAGTCCCATAAACTTTTCTCCTTCAGCACCTCCTGTGGGTTCTCCTGCTGGTCCTGTCTTTTCTGTACCTCCCGTAGGTCCACCAATCACTGGTTTCTCCATGACTGCCAATTACGACATCACCCGAGGTCACGCTGGTCGAACCCCTCAAACCCCACTGATGCCAACATTTTCTTCATCTGTTGCAGGTGGTAGTTTAATTTTAATGTTCCACTTTTGTTCATAGAGTACTTTCTTAATGTGGAAATTCTGTGCGAGTGTTTAATATTGTCGGTTTGTAAAACTTTTTTTTAACTGGTTGACAAAGTTTAAATCTTTCTTCATCCTTCCCAATAACACTAAGTCTTTTGATAGTCACTGTGATAATAGTTACTGTCAACATTGTAATTACGTTATTAATAGGAATGGGACATAAATTTATATTGTTAGTTCCTGAAAAGGAAATATTAATCATATTTTTCTTTATTCTTCCTACTCCGCCTCATGTTTTGCCTCATTCCTTTGTTTATGCTACCTGGTATTCATGTAGTGCTGTCTGATCCCTGTGACTCCAATGTAACAGGTTACTCCCAGCAGAGCTAGTTTTCTCAATAGTAGTGTTCCTCTGTGTGATGCCCTTTTGGTACCAGCATTTTGGGAGTTGCTAAACTGGTTTACCCAACTTTAAAGAAAGGAGTTTAAGGATGTTCTGTTAAATGTGTTTTCAGCATTAAATTGAAGTCAACTTACCTGACTTAGAACATAGAACATTACAGCACAGTACTGGCCCTTCGGCCCTCGATGTTGCGCCGACCTGTGAAACCAATCTGAAGCCCATCTAACCTACACAATTCCACTTATCATCCATATGTTTATCCAATGACCATTTAAGTGCCCTTTAAAGTTGGTGAGCCTACTGTTGCAGGCAGGGCATTCCACGCCCTTACTACTGAGTAAAGACTTACAGCTGGGGTCACTGTTTAGCGGTCAGAAACAAGAATTCTGATCGACGCTTTTGTTTCAAAACACCAATTGTTCTGTGTTAGAATATCTTCTTAATTAACATTTTTGTTCCAAAGCAAGTCCTGCTCAACATGAGCATCATAAACCTGATTCCTAATGTTATTAATTTATTGACAGGAGTTGCGCCAAACACAATGCCTCAGACCTCTGCTCCAATTGGAGGTGGCTCTTCCATTACTTTCCCAGAGGAGACTGAAGATCCCAGGATGTCTGCGCATTATGATCAAAGTGCTTCTGGTGGAGGACTGTGGGGCTTCTTTAAGGTAGGCCTTGGATGTAATTCCTGACCTGGATTTCGTGGTCGGTGCCAAAGTGGCATTCGCCATTCACTTTGCAGATACCTAGCTGCAAAATTTAAACAGGCCTTGAGTGATGACTTGCTTTAATACATATTTGATCATATGGCATCTGTGGCGTTGGTGAACAGGAATAAAAACAGCAAGACTTTTCACTAGTGCTATTGAAGAATTTCTATTTTGCGTGACTCAAGTAGAATCATGAGTTATAAATCATGAATGGAAAGGAAAGAAAGGTTGAGAAGTAGATATAAATATTTGAAACTTAAATTTTGACACCAGTTTACCTATGAGGGAATGATATTTAACTGTCAAAACACAATATTTTCCCCCAAGGCCATGAAGATTGTTAAGAGTAATGATTTATCAAACTGTTAATAATTTACTGCAATCCAAGCGCCTTGCATCCCTCTGAGATTGCCCTTTACAGTCTGCAGGTTTTTAGTATCAATCATGCTTGAACAGTAATTTGCCATTGAGTAAATCTTATAGAGGAATGTTTACGCTCCAGTAGTTTCTGGATCACCTCACTTTTTATTGAACTAATCCTGATGCTGACAAGAGATTTGACAATGCTCTGAAATTTGTCCACAAACTCTACTGGTTAATCAACAATCAGGTGCTCACAAAGAAAGTCCAAATTCAAGAAAGATAAATACTTAAACCATATCCACAATTGGTTTCATCCAAGTGTAATGACAACAAGACATTTGCCAGAGTTACCAAAGCGGTTATATCCTTTGACAGATTTTGCACATCATTCTGGTAGCAAAGGGGAATAAATCTGCCTAACTTGGAATTCTATTGCGCTATATGCATGAGAGGCTTGGACTGTGTACCAGCGTCATTTCAAGAAGCTCATTCACTTCTGAAGCTTCAAATGGCAGCTCAGGTCAACTGGCAAGACAAAATACCAGATGCTGAGACAAAATTTTGTATTGTTAGTTCCTGAGAAGGAAAGATTAATCATGTTTTTCTTTATTCTTCCAACTTGCCCTTGCGTTCTGCCTCATTCCCTTTTTCATGATACCTGGTCTGTATCTTGTGTTGCCATCTGATCCCTATGACTGCAGAAATGAATGGGCACACCAAGTTGAGACAGTTTCAACTGAATGGGAGTGGTTACATAACCAAAATGCCTGACATTCTGTCTTACTGAAACAAATCTATTATGGAGGGCTTAGGTTTAGGGTGCTCTTTATGGCAGTTAAAGGAAGCGTTTCCAGGAAACCTGAAGGCTTCACTTTGGAATTTTGATATTGACCTCCAGTCCTGAGAGAAGCTTACCCAGGATCACTGGACATAGCACATGCAAGCAAAAAAACTGTTTGGCCTCCTTCAAATGCAAATAGCAGGCAGCCATTAACTGTTCTCTTGATGTTGGGAATGGCAAGTGCAGTCAAATTCCAGCCTAGTGGCAGAATTCTAGGAGCTGATGTTATCCAGCTGAAGTCCTACAAGGCTGGAAATGATTGCCTGGTTATGAAACTCACTGAACTCTTCCAGTCCATACAAGAGCAAGGAACCATTCCACAAAAGTACAATGATCCCTCATTTTCACTACGTAAGCAGAAAGGAACTTGCCAGAATCTGAACTGCTTAGTGCAACATCTCAACCAGGATCTGTCACCAGAGTTAGTGCAGCTTTAGGAAAGGTTGGGGAGACATTACTCTTGTGCTTGCAGTTACACAGCACCAAGAGCAAAACACGCTGCATCACTTTTGTCCTGACTAAAGTCTTTAATACAGTCAGCTTTGAGGGCCTTTGAAAGATAATGGAGAAATCCAGCTGTTCTGAAACGGACTCCGTATCCTGGAGTGAAGTCGTTTTGACCCACTCCCAGTTACTAATGTTAAACAGGATTGTATGCTAGTGCCTGAAATCCTCAGCACTGTTTTCTTTTTTAGTGCTCCCAGATGCATTCTATGATGATGATTCCTAACTTTGAAATCTGATATTATGTGGACTGCAAGCAAAGACAAGAGTCTCCAAGAATGTATATCACAGTTTTCTGTTTTCTAATTGACAGCTAGTGCACAGTTCAGTGCTGAAAATGCAGTGTAGCATGGACTTGTTTTCATTTGCAGTCAACAACTCTGACCTCATGACCATCAACAAGAGGAGTGCAATAACATATTGACAGGGTCCAAAAATGTCGTCTTTGCAGCACACTATCTCAAGCTATATGTATGACAACAAAACACTTGCAAGAATTGCCAAAGCAGTTTTGACTGACTTTACACATCAGTCTGGAAGCAAAGACAAATAAATTGCCTACCAGACTTGGAAGTTTGTGGCGATCCATGCATGTGTGGCTTGTTGTGTACCAGCATCGTTCCAAGAAGCTCATCCATTTTGTGAGCTGCCTTGGGAAACTTCTGAAGATCAGATGGCAAGACAAACTATCTGACACTTTAGGTACTCACTCGGACTTGCATGCCAGGCATAGGTACTGCCTTGAGACTATCATAACTAAATGAGTGTGGTCATGTAATCTCGCATGAGACTCCTAGAATTCCAGTGCTCCTTCTTGTCAGTCAAAGGAAGCACTTCAGGGATGCTCTGTGAATACTTAATTTAGGAATTTTTGATATTGATCTTCAGTCCTGGAAGCAGTTTATTCAGGATCACTGCACCTGTAAAATGCAAGCAAAAAAAACACACTATATGGACTCCCTCAAAAGCAAGTGCATGTTTGAAGCAAAGAGAAATGCAAGGAACTTAAATCCTGAGCCAGCAACTTTTACAAATCTTAGTCATCTGGAGTATCTTGTTGTGTTTTCAACAGAACATTCTGGGCATAGATTTGCTTCAGCAATCACCCAGAGTTCTTCCAAATATCCAAGATGACGAATGTGGTCAGCTTCGTCTGAAAGGACAAACACAAGAATAATTCACTTAGTCCAGAATGCAAAATATGATCTCTTTGAATACTAGCGAGCAATGCCTTTTTGTTGAAGCTATTCCATTAAACTCAGTGCCATGGTCAGCGAATGTCACCATGTACACAAACAATTAAGCATGCTGTTTTGTCCTGGATAGTGTCAAGCTTATTGTTGGACCTGCATTCGTTCAGGCAAGACGCGAGTACTCGTGCATTATTGGTGGTTTGCAGTCATTGGGAAGTCATTAAGTGAGTTATTTGCCACAAACCTTTTGACTTACTGTTGTAGCCACTGTTAATGTGGCGGGTCCAGTTCAGGTCCTGGGTGTTACCGTTGACCAGAATATTAATTGTGTGCAATTTAACAACTGTAATGCCAAGGGAAGATTTAGTTCTCTGGTTGGGTATGGTTATTAACTCTCTCGTGCATGATGTGAATGTCACTTGTCAGCCTCACCCTGAATACTGTACAAGTCTTCCTGCATTTGTGTGTGGGTTGTTTCTTTAACTGAGGAGAGAACATTGTGCAATCGTCAGCAAAAATCTCTACTTCTGATCTTTTGGAGAGAATGTCATTGAAGCAGCTGAAGATAGTTGGGCTTGGGATACCACCTTAAAGAACTCCCACAGAGATTCTGGGGTTGAAACATTGACCTCTAATAACCCCACCATTTTTTTTTTTTTTTTTTTTTTTTTTTTTTTTTTTTTTTT